TCGTGTGAAAAAACGTCGTGTCTTATTAGTTCTGAGAATAAATGAACTAAATTTGTAAATTGCGTTTTAGATTGTGATGTTGAGTTATCTAAAACAGGAGCATCTGTATCTAAAAATTTCATTAACAGTGGCTGAAAAATTGGAAGTACAGGTGGATTTCCATTACTCCAAACACTATCTTTGTCATCATTGTCATTTGTTTCTCCAGTGGCTTCACTCTGTCTTTTTTCTAACAATTTAGCAACGGCCATTGCTCTGTGTTCTCCCCATCTTTCTGCACTTACTGCCCATTCGCAAAGAATTTCAACTACAGCAGAATCCTGTTGTGGATTATATTCTGTTTTTGTATCACGTTCATTATTATTATCTTTTGGAGGAGGAGCAAAAATTTTGGCATACAATGTATCTAACGAATTAGCTGCATCCATTCGGTCAAAACTATGTCTATCTAAAGCATCTAATGCTGCTAATACTTTAGTAGTTGTCATTCCTGCACTACTTTGTTGCCATTTATCGCACGACCATCGTCCTTCAGCAGATTGTGATCGAATTCTTATATTTTCTTGTCCAATCTTCAATTGTTTCCTTGTAGGATCAGTAGCACTTGTAGGTGGAGTTGGTAATGCGGCAGGAGGACATGGCAAATAATCTAATGGAGAACCATTTAAGACCGTTGGAGCTTTCCCTTCTCCAACACTATTCCATACCAATGCTGTTGGACACTCCAAAGTGATAACCTAAGGAGAAAAATAAAATTTATTATAAGCAATATTTCAATGGTGAATTCAGTAAATAAAATATTTATCTTGCCTGTATGATTGTAGATAAACTATATAACACATCCCTATGGTGTGGACAAACTAAATATTCATTAAAAGCTGCGGTTAATGGATTTGGTGGACCTTGATTTGTAACAGCAGTATCTTTTCCATTATTAACTTCAGTTTTAACAATAGATGGACTTTGCGGATTACTATTCACTTCAACATTGTTACACATGTATGCTAATTTGCGACAACACAAATATGCTAAACGCCTAGCTAGTAATTCAGACTGTATAAATTCTTCTAAATATTGTAAAGCTAATGGCAATAAAAGTTTTAAGATGCCATCCTCTGATGGCGATGATCTAATTTTATCTAATAATTCTAATATCCATTGGAGTAACTCTTGTCTATCCAACAAACCCTCTTCAAACATGTACTTGGCTAACTGAATACAATATTGCCATTGTTTCATTGCCAATTTATGTTCATCATTCATAACTGCTGTAACTGTTGATTGAACATTTGAATTTGGTGTAGCTGGCTGAGTATTTATAGATCCATTAGTACTACCAGTTGTATTATTATTAACAGTGTTATTGTTACTTCCATTAGCACTTGGTGTAGTACTGCCATTACATGAATTATTTGTACTTGTACTAGTACTATTTGCATTACTATTTGTAGTATTAGTTACTTGGGTACCCATATGATAATATTCTTGCAATTTTGAAAGCTGATCTTTTAGAAATTTTATTAAAGTTCCTGTCCATTCTAAAAGAAAGAAAAAAAACAATACTGTGTAAATAAAGTTAAATTTTAGTTGTTTAGTTTTGAATACACTTACCTGTAGTAGGATCAGGTAATTGTCGTTTTTTAATCTTAGCTTCTGAAACTGCAACAGTATACGCTGAACTCAATTTGATAAACCATGCAGCTCTTAACATAGGTACTTGATATTCGCATAACATCATAAATATTTCTTCTTTTTTATTAAAATTAGGTGCTTTTTTTGCAAGAGTCACTAAAGGTTTACATCCTGACAAGTCTTTGAACCATGCCTCTATACCATTTTTTGTTCTAGCAGTTACTGGCCAAAAGTTATCTTTAGGATTAATTTGTTGTCTTTTTCTTCCAGTATCAGGCATGGTTGCAAGTTCTTCTTTTTTACTAAGTATAGCATTGAAGTATGCACCTACTTTGGCAGCAGTAACATTACAATTTCTCGCAGTACCGAATTCATCGGATAACTGGGGCATTGTAGCAAATCCATGCTTGACATTAACAGATGTAAGCTCATCTTCCTTTTGTTTAGGTTCTTGAGGATAAACATCAGGTGGTCCCAATCTTGGCTTCTTCAGTGGCCGTTTCTCATACAATATTCCCATCATGGTACAAGATAATAATCAAATTGTATAATTAATTATTAACATCGCCAATAAGAACGTCAAAAAGCGTATTAAAAGCTTGACACTTATTTGTAATATTGCACCAAGCTTAATAGTTCCTTATCCATCATCATGTGTTTAGAATTATACAATGAAATACTAACAATCATAACAAAACGAAAAGGACCGTAGGATCGGTCACCGCGAGAATATTAATACGAGATTTAATAAATATTTGCGCATAATTGACACCGTAACTTTCAGATGGCAAGTAGTCAAAACCTTACGTCAAAATTGTAACGACAGACGCCATTGTATTCAGAGTAAATTCTCATATAGAAGTTTTTACCAACGTCACGGTAAGCTAGAAAATAATTCAAAGAATTTTAGAATAAAATATCGGCCGCTTTAGACAATATTTTGATAATCAAGCGATACCGAGGCATTTTGTTTACCATTTTCATAAACGACACGAACGCATATTCCGGGAAACGTTTACAAAATCGTCTGCTAAAATTCATGAATCACAAAAGACTAACCTAGAGATGCAATATCGCGAAGTTTGTAAATCGACTAATCGATTATCGTTGTAAATTATTAATGAAATTCAAAAATAAGACTTTCCTATTGGCCGACTTAGCGTACGAAATATGCATTACGATATCTCGCACTTCAAATCGACGCAATATATTGCAAAGTTCAATTTTATTCAATGTTATGTCAAGTGTTACAACAAGAAATTAAAAGTTCATTCTATTCTAAATCTTTTTGTATAGGTTGCTCGTGTGTCTTATTATTATATATTTCTTGATGGGATTATAATATAAAATATATTATATCTGTAACAACGGAATGCTAAATAATTTAAAACATGACGACCAGGACATTAATGCGCCTGGCTGATGCAACGAACAGATGGTACAATTATTTTCTATTATTTTGTTTTGTTTAGGTTATATATTATTTTTAACATTATGTGTATTGTTAATTAATTTTTTAATTTTTAATACAGTGTATTCATGTTACCGTCCCATACGAGTAGATTACACTTACCAAATGCGTACAAAAATGTAAGAGGTTTTAAACGATTAAAAGATACTACTAAACAACCTGAGAGCCCTTTTACCAGTCTTGAAGGTGAAAATGGACCTGTTCATTTTTCCAAGTTGTTAAAGCCATTTGCTTTTACTATTACGGTATTTGCAATAATGCATTTTGTTTTCATGTAATAATCAAATATTAAATCCTTATTCTTTATAATAGTACATTGTATTTTGTTTATTAGTTTACAGGAACAACACTAATTGCAACAGCAATTTGGGAATATGAAAGAATTAGAAAGCAAACGTATAAAATAACGAATTATTTTAAACAATATTATAATATTGTATGTATTTCTTATTAAATGTAAGTTATTATATTATTAATATTGCTTGTACTTACAAAGCTTTTATATATTTATTTAGAAAACAGGATGGCGCAAAGAAATGGAAACATGGTGGAAAAGTTTGACAGATGGACAAAGAATGTTTGCTCCTATATGTTTTTTAAATGTTCTCGTATTTCTCGCATGGAGAGTACCTGCATTTCAAAGTACAATGTTACGATATTTCTGTGCTAATCCTGCTTCTAGTGAGTAATTAAGCAAGGTATATATTATTTCATAATGATTTATATATCGGATAAAATAATTCATTATTTTTTTTCATTCATTCAAGATGTAACATGTTGGCCCATGATACTATCAACATTTTCTCATTATTCATTGTTACACTTGGCTGCAAACATGTATGTATTGCATAGTTTCAGTACAGGAATTGTTGCTGCTTTAGGCAAAGAACAATTTTTGGCACTTTATTTGAGCAGTGGTGTAATCTCCAATTTTGCTAGTCATTTTTATAAAGTTGCATTTGGTTTACCTGGTCTATCTCTTGGAGCTGTAAGTTATATATTTTCCTATACATATATGTATATGTGTATATAATATTATATAATTAATTTAACTTATATTATTAGTCAGGTGCAATCATGGGTATTCTTGGATTTGTCTGTACAGAGTATCCAGATACTCGTCTAGCAATATTTTTTCTTCCTATGTTCACCTTTACTGCAGGCACGGTAAATTAATATTTATTGTATTCATAAAACAATGATTTTTATAAGATTTTCTAACTTATTTCTTTTTGTATATTTTATTAAAAAATATATTCTTTTGATTTTAGGCAATTAAAGTAACAATGACTTTAGACTTTACAGGCTGCATGTTAGGATGGAAATATTTTGATCATGCTGCCCATTTAGGAGGTGCACTGTTCGGAATGCAAGTGTTATTTTACCTAATATTCATTGTGCACTTGTTTAATAATTTTGTTTAATAATTATTTAATTTATATTTTTTATTTCTATTGTGTAGATTTTGGCAAGCTTGGGGTAATGCTAATATTTGGCGAAAACGGGAGCCAATATTAATGTTTTGGCATGAATTACGAAATCCACGCAAATCGCAATAAATACTGACTTTTATAAAGCGATAAAGTGATTATTATCATATAAAAAAACGTAAGATACTACATTGAGATTAGATAAAGAAATTTAATATAATTTAAGAGATACCGTTTCAGGGAGAACACAAAATTTATAAATATCAACACATTTAATATATTTTTATTATCAACAATTTTTATGTGTATCATGAGAAAACTGTTAAGAAATGGAAACAACGAGGTAAGAAGTAATATATGTAACTTATCTGTAGCTTTGTTTAAATGAAAAAAAAAAAAAAAAAAAAAAAAGAATCGTACATCGATATTATTGCTATTTAATTTATTTTAAATATTAAATTTTTTAAATTTAATTATTAGTAAAGTTCGCGTGATATAAATTTTAACAAAAAAAAAATGTTTTTAATTTTTTAAATACTTCATGTGGTGTTTAATATGGTCTTCGACAAATGTAGCTATAAAATAATAACTATGATCGTAAGCTTCCTGAAATCTTAAAACCAAAGATAATCCAACATCTTTTGCAACATTCAATAAGTTTTCAGGCAATAATTGACCCTGTTTTAAGAAGTTATCTTCTTTTCCCTGAAATATATACATATATGTATTTTAAATGTTTGATTCCTCCACTTATACAACACTAAATTTGTTAGATTTGACTTAGGTAAACCTGATCTATTAAAATATCCAAAGGAGGGCCATTGTATTTTTTAGCTAATTCTGTAGCATCCCAGTCATTCCACGAGACATTGTTTTCTGTTTCTTCAAAATAGCCAGAGAATGCCTTTTTACCCCATGGGCACTGAATTGGATTACTGATAGGGGCAAACGCAGAGACCGATTTGTACATACCTGGATTTTTAAATGCACAAATCAGTGCTCCATGACCTCCCATGCTATAAAAATGATTAATTTTAATAACATTTATAATATCATGTAGAAATAAGTATAATGTTTTTATTAGTTTCATACCTGTGACCCATTATAGATTGTTTATCAGAAAGTATAGGAAATTTGTCATTAATCAATGACGGCAATTCTTTAGTAACGTAACTATACATCCTATAATTCTTTTTCCATGGATCTTTTGTCGCATCTACATAAAATCCTGCTCCAACTCCAAAATCATAACTGTCAGAATCACCAGGAATATTCAATCCACGAGGACTAGTATCAGGTACCACTAAAGCTACACCACACTCTGAAGCATATTTTTGAGCGCCAGCTTTTTGTATAAAATTTGCCTCCGTACATGTTAATCCTGATAAATAATAGATAACTGGAACAGAGACTTCTTCTGCTTGTGGTGGAAGGAAGATGGCAAAATTCATTTTACAGCCGAGAACGGAACTACGGAATATTAAGAAAAAAAAACAAAATAAATTTTCTTTACAGATGGTCTATCACTTAACCTCACATTTTTATCTTTCCATTTACAATACCTTTCGTGCGAATAAACTTTTTGCCATCCTCCAAATATTTTATTGCTAGATACTTCTGTTAGTTCCGTCATTGTAAAAATGTATTGTTGCACTTTCTAAATATGATGAAAATTACGTTAGTGAAACAAATTCTTTTTAGATTATTAGTACACCGCAATTGTATACAAAGGTTAGATAAGAATGCAATCACGTTCCTAATATTATATTGCAAATATTAATCGATTAAAAGGAAAGCAGTTTATAAATAGATTTTTCATTTTTATTTCAAATAAATATATATCGACATTTTCATTTTCGATTTATTTTATATTAAAAACTTACATTTTTACGCGAGGAAGTTATTTGAAACGGGTAAAAAGTATTGTTGGAATGTTTAGCTTCATAACTGATTATAGATATCAAAATAATCAATTGCGTGTAAGTATAAAAAATAACTACATGTTTCATAACATTTTGATAATGTATTATAAAATATCTAAGTATAAACAAGTTCAGATATATATATATATATATATATATATTAGGTCGAGTCATAAGTAACTTCCGACGCAGCTATGTAGAATCTATTATTCGAATTTACCCGCTATGAGTTACCGTGACAACGAGTTTTTGTTTTCATTAGTTACAAGAGGTTTCCGTTAGTCTTTTGTCAACAACTTTGTATGATACACGTTAAAATAAACTGTTTCTTTATCCTCTGAAATGGAGAGCCAAAAAGTACATATTCGTCATGTGATGCTTTGGGAATTTAAACAAGGCAATAGTGCTAAGGTGACAGCAGAAAAAATATGCAGAGTGTATGGTGAAGGATTGATAACTGATCGGGCAGTTAGAAATTGGTTCGTAAAATTCCGTTCTGGAGATATGACTTTAAAAGACGAACCGAGGGCGGGACGTCCTTCCGACTTCGACGACAACCTTTTAAAGGCAGTATTGGAGCAAAATCCACGTCAATCGACAAGATGTATAGCAGAAAGGTTGAATACATCGCAATCAACCGTTATCCGCCACTTGGAGAAATTAGGGAAAATCAGCAAGAAAGGAGTATGAGTACCTCACAATCTCAGTGAACAGAATAAAGAAGATCGCATGTCAATCGCCACAAGTCTGCTCTCACGGGTCAAAATGGAGCCCTTCTTAAACAGGATTGTAACAGGCGATGAAAAATGGGTCACCTACGAGAATATAGTCCGCAAAAGACAGTGGCTTGATAAGGATGAACCACCCCTACCAGATCCTAAAGCAAACATCCATGGTAACAAAATCTTATTGTGTGTATGGTGGGATTGTCGAGGAATAATTTACCACGAGTTGTTGAAGTCAAATTTAACGATTACTGTGGATAGATATGTTCAGCAGCTGCAAAGAGTTTAAGAAAAACTCAGTGAAAAGCGTCCTGCACTCTTAAATCGTGAAAATGTCATCCTTCTGCACGACAATGCGCGACCACATACAGCAAAGGTGACTCAAGAAAAAATTCTTGAGCTTGGATAGTCTGTTTTACCACATCCTTTTTTGAATGAAAAAACTTTCAATTCTGAAGAGCAAATCACGCAGGCTGTCGAAAACTTCTTGCAGTCCAAACCAGCCACATTTTACAAGGCAGGAATTTATAAACTGCCAAGAAGATGGGAGAAGGTTATAGGTAACGGTGGTGAATACGTAATATAAATTAATGTAATTTTTTTATTTAATGAGAGAAAAATAAATATCTGATAAAGAAACTGAAGTTACTTATGACTCGACCTAATATATATATATATACACGATAATTGTATATATACAGGTTGTCCTGTAACTAATGGTACAAGGCAAGTAGGGAATAATTCTGCATATAAAAATAAGCTAAAAGTGTAGAATAAAATGAGAAAATAATATTTTTTAAAAGATAATCTCGTGTAAAAAACGACTCGGTCTTTTAAAATATCTTAAATTGTACAATACAAAATATGTCAATATAATTATATAATAATATATTTATAATTGTTTATACAATTTTTTCTAAATCTATTTTCTCTTTAACTTTTTTAGTTCACTTTGTTGTTTCGCAGCATCGCCAAATATTTCTTTAACCTTACGTTTACGTTCAGTATCACTCTTAATCTGTTGTTTAATTTGTAATTTGGATAAGAATGCTCTATCCCTTCTTATTTCACGTATTGCACCCTTCGTTTCTCTTTTATATTTATGGAGTAATTTTTCCCTTTCCGCTTTTTCTTTAGACATAGGCTTATGCTTTTTACCGTCGTATCTGTAAACAATACAAAAGAAACTAGTAATATGGCTATCTAATTATTATTGAATTAAAAATTAAATAAACAAAATAGTATGCGTACACTTTTTCAATACGAGGTTCATATTGCCTTAATGGTTTTGGCCTTTTCTTCTCACGAACGATATATTCAAGTTTTTTACTCTTTAAATTGATTATCTCTTCACATAGTTGTTTGATATTCTTTTTTAAACTGGAAGGATATCCATTGCATGGATTTTCTTTTAATAACTTCATTATTGGTTCGAATATAGAATATACAGAATCTAATTCTTGAAGTTGATTTTTAAATTCAGTAATTAAATTTACTGCAGTAAATAAAGTTCTTATTTTGAAATCATTATCTATATCTTCATTTACTAAATCATTTGCTTTCATAATTACTGTATTTAAATCCATTTCTACATCTGTTTCTTCCTGATCAATTATTAATAAATTACTTAAATAACCATTTTGTTTAAAGGGAGGAATCACCTTAATTCCTTGAATCAAATTTTTCGGCGTAGCCATAAATATTAACCCACGTAGAAAATTGATCACAGATGGATCAAATCGTTTACTTAATACAGTATACTGAAAAAATAATGAATTTTTCATTAGACAGTAAAAATATAGTGCATATATTACATAATTAGTAATATAAAACAAATAATAAATGTAATGATTATAATATGTACCTCCAATATAAGAGTACATATGAAGAGACCTCTCGATATATCTCTTCTATTTTTAACACGACATGTCATTAATATTTGTGACATAAATATAAAACAAGGAGTAACAATGACATGTCTAAAATCAGATGTTGAAAATAATAGTGATACCAGTTTGAAAATAATAAGCTGAAAAAGAAATTATTTTTTTTGTTTAAATAATGAAATATTTCATTTCTCTTATAATTAAATATTTTGTATATTTACCGTATCTATATTTGGATATTGTTTTTTATTATTTTTAAATTCTTCATATTTCTTTTTTATTATTTCAATCATACTATTTTTAGTACTTTCAGGGTTTGCATGTGCTAAATCATACAGATAAGGACACAATCTGAAATATATAAGATAATAAATTATTTTTATGTTTAATTAATATTCTTAATAGAATAAAATATTTATTGTATATATATGTTTTACCTATCAAAACTTTGAAAAGAGTTCACAATGTTTTCAACATTACTATCTTCTATACTACTAACAAGAATATGTTCTATTAGAAAAATAAATAAGTTAGATAATTTCTCTTTGTTCTGACTATCTAAAGACCAATGATTACATTTTATTATACGATCTACAATAACTGACTGATAATCGGGATTTTGATTTTGTAGTAACTTTTGTAATTCTGTGAAATTTTCTGGTGCTTTATAAGTATAAGGCAATTCTTTTCTAGCTTTTTCCATTACTTCTTTCCTTTTTAAAAGATCATTCCTAATTTCTTGCTTTCTATCTTCACTGATAACTTTGTCCTTAACCTCTGTTTCTTTATTTGATTTTAAGATAGACTTTAATTTGTCAGTTTTAGAATTAGTTGATTTTTCAATAGTTGTATTTCCAAATTTAACAGTTTTTTTAGAAATAATCTCCTCCTCATTTTCACTGGAGGAATCCAATTCTTTTAAATCTGATAAGTCGTCTTCTGAAGAGTCTTCATCATCTGTGCTATTTGAATTTTGTGTTTCGTCTTCATCACTTTCTTCGTGTTTATCATTTTGAGTTTTTGATTTCTTATCAATTTTATTTTTTATAATTTTATCATTTACAAGAGACTCATTCGTTTCTTGTACTTCACTTTCTGCTTCATTTGCGTCTTCATCTAATTCAGAATCATTACTATCGTTAGAGCTTTGACTACCATCATCAATAAGTGCATTGACATCGTTATTTATTTTGTCATTTTGAGCTTCTTCGGATATTTTTTCTACCACAAATCCATCATCAAGATCATCAGCTGATTTATGCCTTGATTGTGTACTTGAATCAGTTATAAATCCTTTCATTCTTGCTAAACGATCAGCTTCAAGTGCTTCAAGTTTTTCCTTTTCTTCTTTAATAATTTCTTCCTCAGATTTTAATCTATCAGTAGGATTACCTCTAGCTTCAAATTTTAATTCACGTACAGCCATGTCATAATCATCAACTCTTACTTTTTCAGGAGGATCTTCTTTAGATGTTTTACTCGTTGACATTAGAGGAAAGAGATCTTTCCATTCGGTATCAAGTTTTTCAGTTAAGTCTAAAGTTTGTTCTCGTATCTTTTGCTTTTCTGCTTTACGTTTTTTGGAATCAGCAATAAGTTGTTCGATTAGGTCTTTTCTAGACATAGTTGAGTCTGATTTAGTTAACATGCCACCTCCAAAGTGAGCTTCACCGACAAATTTTTTATCCAATTTCCCATCCTTATTTTCATCATCGCTAAATTCATCATCACTTTTAGGATCATCAAATTTTTCGATCTCTTCAAGAGTTTGACCTCTATGAGTTAATACTTCTTCGTCATTTAAACTAAAAATATTTTTCTTTTTATGCGCCTTCATACGTTCAGCTGTAAATCTTGCCATAGCTTTTTCTTCAGGTGTTAGACGATAATTTTTTTCACCTATGCGTTTGTCTAAGAATACATTGTCTTTATTTTTCAATTTATATTCTTGAAAGAGCGTACCTTTACGTTTGCTAATAGCTTTGGCACGTGATATACCAGGTAAACCTCTGTCAGCTTTACTCTTTCGTCCCAAAACATTCTGCTTGTCTTTATTTAGATGTATTTCAAAAGGATTCAAATTTTTCTTTTTTTGTTGAATAGGTTTTGGTTCTACATATTTACAGTTCTTTTTCTTTGTTTTCACCATTTCAATATGTCAATGATATATAATTTAAACAATTATAATACTTTACGTACATCAATTTGTTAATTAACTTGTAAATATATAAATAGAAAAGTTTAATAACCTATATTACAATAAAGATTCTTCGATAATAACCCACGTGTTTCATTTAATCCTTGTATTGTTAGTCACTGCTGCCACTACATCTTACCAACATTATCAACCAATTCTAATGTAGTAATTTTTGGTTAGAACGTTTGCGTTGTAAACGTAACTTTTTATTACTGCATTTCCTGTTGCATTTTTAGTTCAAATTTTGTCAATAGTTATCGCTGAAGTCACACATGCTCTTAACGAAAGGTTGAGAACAGCTGTAAAGTCTGAAAAATTGCAACATTAATTTATTATGAATAGTTTCAAGCTAGTAATTGAAAATAAAAAAACATCTATGTTTCCAAAATCTAAAATTATAATTTTATTTTAGAATGAAAACATTCTTTTATGAAGATATTTAAATATATATAATAAAATGGCCTTATATGATAACCAACATTGGCTTTTATCACATATTAGAGATAGTTTTTTATCTACAGATGACACAGGTATATTTTAATATCATTATATTGAAAATACCTAAATATTATTTCCTACAATTAATACTTTCTTGTTATAGCTGTGTCAAAACCTAACATTACGTATTTGTATTATTATTAAAACGTATATGTTTTCTAAATATAAACAGTTTTTTTTTTTTTAATAATATTTATATTTTTTTTCTTTTTAAAGGTATGTGCGAGATGGTTATGCTAGGAGAAGATATACCAAAAGAAATGAAGTCAAATGGTACGTTACAATGTTATCCTGGAATGGAAGAAAGTGACGATGAAGATTTAGATGCATTAGCTGAATCATATGACATACAAATGGGTATAATATATGTTTCTTAATTAATAAATAATCTTATGCATATATTAATACAATTATTACATGTAAAACTTTTGAATTATTGTTGTAGATATGGAACTTAGTCATAGACAGCGTTCTAATACTGCTCAAAGATTAGAAAAAATGGATTTAGAGAGAAAGAAAGCGGCTAAAATTAAACATGTAAAATGGGAACACAAACCAAATCTTCTTTCACTAGCAGAACAATCAAAATTATTTCAGAGAAAGGATTTCCGTAAAAAAAATACAACTACTACCAAAAGACATTCTTTTTTATCTGAACAAATAGGAAAGTGTCCCAATTTACCTCAAAATCCTTTTACGGATTTTGCTAAATTCGATGGCAATGTATGAAATATCTGTTATCATTATATTATCAATTATGCAATATAAATTTATACATTTGAAATTGTTTCAGGCACAAGTTGGAATTGCTATTAGAAAATATAGAATCTTTATGTGTATGTTACCTAAGGAAGAAAGGACTTATCCTTTACAAATTGTAGTTGTCGCAACAGCTAAAGTATTGGAATTTATTGGGCTTATATGTTATAAATATGCGAGCGAACATCCCAATCATAATTTAAAGTATGAAAGTTATAGAATATCTTAGAAGTTTGTATATTTATTTGCAAGCATTGCAATTTGTTTCATTTTTTCTAATCGATAGGGAAGATATTACAAAATATGGTTTATATATTACTGAAGATGATGGTGAGGTAGATTGGGACTTTCCTTGCTTAGATCCAGGAGAAGTAATATCTAAGTTTGAATTCACAACATTAGGTCTTGTTGAAATGAAACCAAGTGATAGAGCACGACATAATACGATAAGACATATTGAAACAGAAGTAAATGAAGAATTAGAAGGAATAGATAAAGAGCAAGAAGAAGTAGCGAAAGATTTAGCCAAAATGGAAGGTCATACAACAGCAATGGAAGCTCCATTATATCAATCATATAGGTGCATTCCTATTATCATATGATACTTGAAGAATATCTAAATGATAAACATATTATATATTAACGTTTATTAACAGAGTATACATAATTAATAAAGTGAGAGCAAAGACTGAAATACTCCTTGGAATATCGGGTGAAAAAATAGAAATTGATCCAGTGATAACGGGAAAGGGTGCCAGTCGATTTTGGAACAGACAACGTGCTGTTAGTTATCATATAGATAACATTGCATGGTGTGAAATAACTGAAAACAAAGGATCAAAAACGATATTCACATTGGTTTATACTCCACATTCTTCTACTTTAGATAGTTTAAATGGTATATAAATATTTATTCTCAATATATATATATATATATATCAATAATATTATAAAATAGATTATTTACATATATTTTATTATTTATTTTTTACAGCATCATCCAGTCAAACGCATTCTCTTCAACAATCCGCGTCATTTAAAAATCATGATTTTGAAGCGTATTCAGTGACAGCAGTAGAAATAGTAAAAAAGATAAATCATATTTTAGAATTACGTAGTAGTACATCAAGAAAAGAATACTTGGCCCAAAAAGAAAGGAAAGCGGCAAGAAGAAAAAGTTTTCATTTGCATAGATGACAGCTTTACTGGTTGTTTTGTTCGATTTTACATTATCTAAAATATTAAGACATATAGCAAGCTATACGATATAAAATGTAAAAAATTTGTATAACGTAAAAGTAAGTTACAATTTCGTTCGTCATAACAATGACATTTAGAAAAGCTTTCTACCAAAGATATTATTTGTATTATTTTAAATATTCGAAAGTTATCATTAATTAGTATAAATAATTTGTCTTTTAATATATTATATCTAAAATATATGCTGATATATTGTGCAAAATGCTATAAATCATAATGCGTATGTAAAGTTATACTTTTAACAGTATTAAAGCACGATGGAACAGTATATCGATACAAAAAAAAAGTAACTTTAAATAATATGCTCTACTTAAATTATACTATTGTAAAACAATGTAAAATATGATTATATACAAAATGTTTTATCTTATTTATAAACGAATGTTATACTATTTACACAAGTAAGACTCTTATAATATTTGAATTAAAAGCATTTGTCATTTAGATATTTCAATTATTTTCTTTGTCGTCTTATCCAACTTCTCTTGCATTCTTATTAAAAATTTATCGTTCAATTTAGACATTAATTCATTTAATAAAACCACTTTTAGAGTCTTGTTAGATAGTTCCTGACTATTGCCATAAATATAATCGTAATTAGGCTTAGCTTGTAAAAAAGATCTCTCAGAATCAGATAATGCTTTATAATCTAAATTTTGTCCTAGATTTTCTAAAGCAGATTTTTGTTTAGTAAGACTGCGTCTTTTCGATTTACGTTCTTTTAACTTTAATTGCCATAATTTTCTTTCTTGTTTAAGGTCAGTTATATATTCTTGCAAGTTAAAGGTTTCTTTCCTTGTTATATCATTCACACATTGACGTTTCAATTCGTCGTCTGGTAATAAATCATCATTTCCAAGATTTTTTACTTCATTTAATTCTAGAAAAAAGTATTCAAGTTTTAAAGAAATGTATTATTTATCTGCTTATATTTACTATCAGTATTTTAAGGTTAACTAACCTTCATCAATGAATAATTTTGAAGTTCGTGAATGAAAAACCGAAGATCTTCTTTTACGTGTAACTTTGTCAGACAATTCTTCCATGCCTAATTCTGATGCATTTGGTAAAACAGAATTATCCATTTTATTTAATAATTAAACAATAATATTTTATAAATTATTTTTACCAAACAATCATTACATTTCAAACTAACCAATCATAAAACGTTGTAATGGTCCAGTTAATTTTAACCAATCAGAGCTAACGCATTTTATTTTTAAATAATAACGATAAATGAAAATGATTATTTTTTAATAAATTACAATTTATTATAATATTTATTAATTGAAAACTACATATATTTATATATATATATATACATATATAAATTTTATTTTATAAATACTACAAAAAAATATCTATTATCAAAGTTGCTTTAATTATTTCTATGAAAATATAAAAGAAAAAAAAATGTTGACAAGAATGTTGAATTATGCAAAATTTATTAATGTTTATAAACGTAAATTAAATAATTAATAATCATTTATTATTATCATTATTATTATTATTATTATTATTATTATTATTACTATTATTTATATTTATATAAATCTGCGTTAAATCATACGATTAGGCATTGGAAAAATATATTCATAGAGGCTTTTATTCTAGAGAAATCTCGAAGTTTCTATCTCGAAGTTTATGTACATGATGATGATACATGTATGTAAGAGTTTAGTAGACGACCATACGAGTGTAAACGATTACTTGCGAGTTGAACGAATCTAAACGTGTTGTATTGCGTATCCTGTTAGCTTACGTGAAAAAGAAAAATTGTGAACAAACTTTATTCAATATCATTTATAATTTATCGTTAAATCAAATTAAAAAAGAATTTTTACAAAAAAAAAAAAAAATATATATATATCTTCTAGAGAAAAAGGATTAAATTTAATATTATGGCTACGAAAAGTGAGGAGGTAAGTTTTATGTTTATGCTTTTCTTTTACACATTTTTCTTTATAGCATATAATTATATATTAAATATAATATTAAATATTACAATATTATTGTAATAAGTAAATTTGTATATCATTACAGTTGAAACTCGACATAGAAGAGTTGAATAATCTTATACAACAAGCTACACGTCCCAAAGTAAAAGATATTCTTTCTTTGGAAATTAGACGATTGCAGACAGAGGTAGGAAAATTGATCGAAGAAAATAAAGATGTATGTCCTAAGTCGGTAAATTCAGCCATTAATTCTACTCCTAAATGTTATGACGTTAAGATAAACAATTATTGTTGGGATCAAACGAATAGCGTTGTCAAAATATATGTTCAATTAAAGAGCGTACATCTTTTACCAAATAATAATATTGTTTGTAAATATACTGAAAAGTCCATGGATTTGTTTGTTTACGGATTGGATAATAAAAATTATCATTTACCGATCAATAATTTATGCGAGGATATTGACACGGAAAAAAGTTATTTCAAAGTAAAAGCAGATATGATCATCGTATATCTTTCGAAAAAATCACTTAAAAATTGGTCGTATGTAACTGGCGTTGAAAAAAGAATAAAAGAAGCAAAAACTCCATCGGTTCCCGATATGGGAGATGATCCTGGTGCTAGTTTAGTAAATCTAATGAAGAAGATGTATCAAGATGGAGATGATGAGATGAAAAAGACAATAGCTAAGGCATGGACTGAAAACCAACACAAATCTGCAGCGGGTCTGTCAGGTTTTGACTATTAATTGTAAAACAATACTTAATTAAATGTATTTTATGTTTCCTTATAATAATGCAAAAATTTAGGCCTAATTATATTACATATATCAACTTATATTATGCATAATTAGAATAAAGTTCCTTAAATCTAAATTTGTCATAGTTACAAGTAAAGTAACAAATCAACAACAAGTAGTTTTTCATTGCATTCATCTAATCAATATTAATTATAAAACTTTTTAAATTCTGGTAATTAAATTGGTAATTATAATACATTGCTACATTTTCTTTTTTTATTGTTATTTACATATGCAAATGACAGTTTTTATAATTGTAACATTTAATATTATACAATAAGAAGTAATAAAACATTGAGAATGTTTACTGTACAATTCGATTTATTTTTCATTTTCAATCATGACAAGCCATTCTTATAATTTATAATTTTTATTATTGTAATTATTATTATTATTATTATTATTAATAATCTTACTGTATAAAATACAAAAGAGATTCTCAAGTAATTCGTTTAGTTATAAAATGATCATCCATTTCTTTTTTTTTCATTTTTCTTTTTCTTTTTCTTTTTCTTTTTCCATGTGCATTCTAAATGTAAAATTTCCAACATTGTTGGATGGCAAACTATACATTTAGGATAATACATATTTTTAATATCCGGTGCATCGATGGAAAAAAGTAGAAATATGTATATAAAATAAAAATTTGTTAACTTCGTTTGGTACAATATTGACATTTTTAATAGTTACATAATCTTTCTCTTTTTTTTTTTAATCCATTAACATTTAATAAATTAATGCAAAATGAGTATTAATAATAAATTGATAATTAAGTAATTATCATTTAAATTAGAAACTTTTTTTTTTTGTAAAATGTCCGTCGATTTAACAATATAAAATACATAGTATTTATTGATAACCAATCACTTAAAAACTTTCTTTCGTTCTCTCTTTCTCTTTCTCTCTCTCTCTCTCTCTCTCTCTTTTACAGTACATTCATTATTTATTCTTGCCAGTATTAACTACACAAATATAATTATAATTTTAATATGGCCATTAGGTATAGATATTTTACGTGTATTTGCATAATTGGAAAACTTATAGCCCTTAAAAATTCATGGATAATATGTACACCTTGCCTTTCTTAAGATGTAAAATATTAACAAAGTATTGTAAAAAACAAGAACTCTGCTCAACAGATTTGTAAATAACTTAAAAGAAAAAGAAACGTTTTTCTCTTTCTATCACATACACGTTGCATTCGAATATCATTTGGAATAAAATACAAAAAAAGCACACCTTAAAATTGTACTTTTTGGAACTGTGTAGACCTATAGAAGTATAGTAAAATAGTCGAGTATTAGACTAGATACTGTGACATCATGGTATAAGACATTTTATCAACAGATATGTGATGTTATGTTTTACTTAGCAACTAAATAAATGGCGTAGACAATCACAATTTTTATGGCCCCAATAAATCAATGTCATATATACATATGTGACTATGTGTTATAATAATCATAAAATAAAACATATTTTATTTTCAGTTATGCATACGCGAATATGGATTCAAATAATTAAACATAGCGACGTATTCTAATATTAAAATCTTTTTCTAATTATACTTTTTTTTTTTAACAACTAAGCGCTTATGCATATATATATTATATATATTATAATTTCTTTAATCGATGTCTTCATTTATAGTACAAATTGGAAGCAACAGAAACTGAACACAATTTTAAGCATAAATTAAATATAAATTAAATGTAAATTTTAGAATTGACGTATCAAAAAGTGGCCGTACATTTGTTGATTGCATATTGACTAGTATCTTACATTAATTTAAAGAAAATTTTTGTTTACATTTATATAATACCATATCTTTTATAAGAAGTACGAAAACAATAAATGTATAGAAAATGCAAAATGTGTGTATTCTAATATTGTTCTTGCGAATAATTAATGGTAACCAAAATATCATTAACTTATAAGAATAGTACTTATTTTAGAAATCTAGTAGCCATTTACATAACTTAAGTAAATTAAACAATGGAAGAGAATATAAAAGAATTAAACATATTAAGTAATATATGATAAGAACGATACATCTGTTTTAACATATAAAGCTGTGTACTGGTAATTGACAGTAAAAAATGAGAAAATTCTTTTAGAATTATATTAGGCGTTTTGAAAATTGTGGTACAACCAAAAACGAAATGATTCTAATTAAGAAATTAATTCTTATAAATATAATGTACGATCAAACTATTTGATTTAGATTTCAATTTTAGAAAAATTATCTAGGAATATATTCATTCAGTTAAAACATTATTAAATTTTCTATATAACTCGTAAAACGTATATAGACATAAAATTTGAAAATTTAGATAAGTTATAAATACATAAATATATATACCTATATTATATGTATCAGGCTGAGATTGAAATTCGATTTAACAAAATTTGTTCATATATATTTTGGAATTTTTTCTTTTGAGAAAGAAAAGTATTCCTTATAGATTATACCACGATTTTAGTAGACACCTTACATACATTTACAATTTAGTTTTAATAATAAAATTATGATGTGATGTATATTAAGCCCATTGATAATTATTAATAATTTAATATAGTCGATATTATAAAAAATATATTATTAAATTATATTAATTAGATTCAAATGAATTTTTGGTTTTTTTTTTTTGTTACTACGTCAAATTTATAAATCTATTTTAATGAATTATTATCAACTTTTTTGATATATATTTAATTTTTTTACTCAGTTTATGAATGAGAAGAAATGGAAAAAATGATCAATATATACTATTTGTAAGTAAATGTATGGAACATAAGAAAACGTATATTAAAATAAAATATAAAAAAACGTTTAATATTTTTATCAAGAATGAATATGATTTTGACTTATGATCAATGTCTTTTTGTAAATATAACAATAAAAATAAATATAATCGATTAACATTAAAAGCGGAAAGAAAAACATTAGTTTTTGGTTTTCATTTCGAAATTCAATCAAATTGCCAGTTGAATTTTCAAAGAATGATCATTCTACATATGGCTTAGCAGAAGGAAGTGCAAGTTGTACCTCTGTACTAGTCGCATGAAAGGCTTCGGTCATTACATTTCTAGTTTTCTCCATCAATAATTCTACATCGTCTTTATTTAATCCCTTAGTAGGTATAAGTGGTAATGTTGTTATGACTATACGACCTTAGTGTAAAAAATAAATTATTAATTAGTTATATTAATGTCATTTAAAAAAGATATAATGAATTTTGTAAATATGAATTACCTGAATCAAATCTTTTCTCTTTGTTAGACAAAAAATAATAAGATGAAAATACTACTGGTAATATAGGTAACTGAGCATTAATTGCAGCATAAAAGGCACCTTTTTTAAATGGATGAATTTCTCCAGTATTACGTCGTGTACCTTCTGGAAATATCCATAGTTTGAACTAAAAGAATTTTACGAATTAGAATATTAAGTTCTTTCTTAGATATAATATTTGCGCATTTATTCAAATTACCTGTTTATCTTTTGATTGTTCGGAGGCTGTATTAATAACAGAACGGGCTTTATCTGAATTCAATCTATCTATAAATATTAATCCACATAACCAAGCAGCAAAACCAAAAGGCCAAAAATAAAAGATTTCTTTTTTAGCGATTGCTGTACACCTGTCCATTATCGGCCATATATCAAACATGCCCAAAAGGTCTAAGGAACTTTGATGATTAGCTACTATAATGCATGCTACATCTTGATTTAAATGTTCTTTCCCTCTAAGTTCCCAACGTAATCCCAATAAAATATTAATATAGCTACACGGATATGATGCTAATCTGTAATATAAAATGTTTTATAGATATATATATATATATATATATATGTAAACCTGAAACATGTAATAAACTGATGTATAAGAATTGAGTTATAATAATTCAATAAAAAATGTTCTTATGGCATTGAAGAATAAATAAAACATTAAATAAAAAATCAACAAATACTTGTAAACTGACATAAATAATAATCTATATTTTCTCGAATCATACCTCACATACTCGAGCTACTATAGTTGTAAATTTAAAATTATATTTGTTGAGAATTTATTTGAAAATATTTCATTTTACCGCGTATATCATAGGCAGTTATGATAGTAAACATTAGTAGCAGACGATCGGTATTATTAATATTAATAAAACGATTTATTTTCTTATCACAACAATTAGACATTAACAAGACATTGATAAATCATCATCAACAGAGAAATAAACAATTGTTATTTAATCGAATAAAAGAAATTATTAAAACATTATCTTCACTTCAATTTTAATTAACGACTTGGTAAATTTCTACATATCAAACTATGCCCGATCGTAACGTTGTCATTAATAATTATAAATTAATGTTAATAAAAATAAATATAAATGTTAATTAAAATGAAAATTAGAAGAAGAAGAAGAATTATTAAAATGAAATAAACAAAAGTCAATGTATCTTAATCGAATACTAACACAAGATTCTTGATGTTTTTCGGTCGTAGAAGAAATATTGGTATGAATACTATGGCGAGGATAGTTACAATGCCATAATAGAGGATAAATTTGAAGTAATAACGAAAAGTCCGGCTTGTTTCATAGAGAAAGGGTAATAACAGGATGAATCCGAAGAGTATTAACTCGAAGCTTGATGGGGCCATTACTTTGACAACGAAGGGCGGTGTTTCAGAATTTTTGACGTTTTCCCTTTTTTTCTTATCTTCGTTTGTTGTATATTAAAAATGATTACGATCTGAACTTCTTCGATGCTCAATTTTTTTTCTTTTTCTTTTTCTTTTTCTTTTTCTTAATATTATTATTATAACTAGTACGCTTGAAATACTATACTATTTATTAAAAACTACGAAGAATAAACTAAAACGAAGCGGATTACGACGAACTACCGCCGGCGAACTGTCGCGCACTGTCAATGTTCCGAATTACCACCTTTATAAAGATTCGACTGGTTCTGCTGATGGTAGATAAGTATATATATACTTAAGATATGTAGAATGGAAAGGACATGTAAAGCATGTATAGCAAAATATATATACATTTAGGAGATATATATATATATATATATATATATATATGTGGGATAAAGGTAAATTATGATATGGAAAAATCTACAAATGTGAATATAATTACCTTTAATAATTAATAATTTATCTTTATCCTTCCACTATTCTTTTAATTTCTTAACAAGTTTTTATATGTTTCTTATTATTTTAAAACTTGTCTATATTATTTTGAACGTTTTTATAATGAAATACTTGTAAAGAATTTCAAACGAATATTGAATTGCGCTGTTACGAATTCGATAGATTGTTTTTTTGCTAATATGGTAAGATTTTTAAATATTCAAAAAATAAATGCGCACGTGATTGATAATCAATTTTTTCAAGAGTTTCTATTTAGTAATTATCTTTCAAATAAAACATATTTTCTTAAATAATGAATATTCATTACAGTACAAAGTTTATTCATAACAAATTAAATACATGTTTTTTTTTGTCTCCATATCTTCTCGTCAGACGAGTTTTGTATTTATATTATAAATGTTTGTTTTTACAGCCTTGTATTGATAAACATATTTTAGATTTGTTTCATATGTCAAGTAGTTTTTTTGATTTTATTATTGATAATACTGGTCTATATCGAGAGATAAAAAAAAAATCAATGTTTGAACTATTACTATTGTATTTATTATCAGTAAGTATCTAATCTATTTTATATCTTTTGTTTCAATACCGTGTGTATATATGGAAGCTAATTGTAATTGAATTTACGATATCATTCGTTTGTGTGATTGGTTCAAAAGTTGAGCTTTATCCAGTATAACCAACATAACCAATAATTTGATTCGTTAGTATAATTTGATTATATACTCTTTATATTAACTGTAATTTTCTATAATTTGGATGATTGTAATATAGAATATCCGATATTTTTTTGATAATCATTAGAAATGATTAAATAAATAGAAAAATTAACTTACGTAAGTTTTAGCATAAGATTTATGTATACAATATATTATTAACTTATACAAAATTATATTATACACAAGTAATTTATACAAGTAAGAACAACAACAAAATTGATTTTAACACTCTGACTTTCACTTTTTCAGTAAAACTTTCTTCAGGCCACGCGTACCGTCGTACGAAGCGTATTCTGCCTGGTATTCTCACTGATATTTTAAATGTTAGAAAAAAATAATAGAAGATTTAGGGAATTATTAGCTGAAAAATTATTAGGGTTGACTGACAATACAACAAATCCTTGTCTTCGTCGGAGACGGTATAATATCGCCGTTCGGAAAAATGATTCCGGAGGAAGCATTAAACGCGCATGCAAACAATGTTATGCAGATAAAAGAAGTCGAATGGGCCGATCAGAGACACGAGAGAATTTAAAAAAAACATCAACTTATTGTCCAAGTTGTCCCGACCAACCCCTGCTTTGTATAGATTGTTTTAAAGTTTTACATTCTTAATAATTTTCTTCAAAAACCATTATCTCTATTACTTCTATAACAATAGTTTATATTAATGAATATACTATTATAAAAAAATTTAAGTTTATATTAATAAATATAGTTTTTTTATATTAATTAATATTCAATAGTTTTGTTACTTCCTCTGCGAAATAAATATTTTTTCAAACACATACGAATATCCTTCGCAAGTAGTCAAATAAGCGACACTCCAATACGGGTGACGAGGCAGTGTTAATATTATAAAGGATTTATTTTTTCTATGCAAATTGAACCCTTGATCTAATGCTAATATATTTTCATAAATAATAATGTAAGTATTGCTCGATATAACAGTTTATTATTTTCAATTTTTTATAGTATTTAAATATGTATTTTGTATTTATCTATGTAGTATTATCATTGTAATAATTGATGGAAAAACATTTGCTTTTTTACATAAATATGTTTTTATTTCATTTTTATATGTAGCGGTTATACAATCATGGAGTATCTCTATGCATACAATACGTCATATTTATGGAGGGTAGAAGTAAGGAGTAACATCTCTTATGGAAGAAAATGTGAAAAAGTATTTAGCGTTTTCTATGAGTAATAGTTCAAAAATCTTCCAGAATGGCGCTGTTGTAGACAGAAGGTATGGTATGAAAGTAACAATTGTAAACGAATTGAAGTATGCCGAGTTAAAAAATTTAATATTATTGCCGACTAAAGTAGTTAATTATTGAAAATGTCAACTACTTGCGTAGTACAAAATAATGTAGTAAATATAACCTTAAAGAATTATTATGAGAAAACGTGTACCTAGAGTGATTTTATTTCGTGAACTGTGAATAGTACGTTTATTGATTTTCTATCATTTAATTTTATGAAAAAGTATGTGAATAACAAAACAGTTATGAGTAAAATTTTTGTTCCTTGTTTATTTCTCAATCCTCCTCTTATAATATTTGGCGCTTTCTTTAAAATTTACCCTGAAGCTACTGTTGCGCCACCTTCATTGAATGCATTTCAACGGACACTTTTCATATATAGAGATGATACTCCTTAGGGATCCTATAGGAGGGATGCGCTAGGGATCCTGTAGGAAGGATGCGCCATTCATATTCAGCTCATGTGCCATTGGCTGAAAATTTTGGGAGACCGCTTGAATTTATAATAATTTTTTCGTGTAACCTATTCTATTTTAATATAAATTTTTAATTATCATTAAATATAGTTCATTTTTTTTTTCTGTATTTGATGCAATTCATTATTTCATAATTATTTCAATGTTTGAATCATTCACGCGCAAAATCGAGTTCCGGTCCCCCAGCAATGTACATGGCGCATCCCTCCTATAGAATCCCTAGGATTAGGTTTGTACATTTATACTTGTAATTATTAAATGAGTAAATTAAACTTACACTTATAGAAAACTATTAAAAAAAAAAACAAAATAATTAAACATAAATATCACAATAAAAACTTTAAGTATTCCAAACTTAAACTAACCACAGCCGTTAATACATACTAAAGATAAACATGGCTGCGCGTTGGATCGGAAGCGGTCCCCCAAAATTTTCAGCCAATGACACATGAACTGAATATGTATGGCGCATCTCTCCTACAGGATCCCTTATATTCCTTACATTTATTCTCCAGATATCGAAGAGAGAAGACGCGTTTTATATTTAGTCTTGTCCGCCTTTTCCGCCTTTCTTTATACCGCCATTTTATATTAAAGAATAAAGTCTTTAAACCACGTGTCTTGGTTCATTACTAAAAATAATAAGTAAAAGTTTATATCGTGGAAACTATAAATTCTAAACGTAAACGAACGTACGAGGATATATCAGTAAGCTATCCAGTGTTTTTCTCAACATATGTTATTTGGGGAACTAAAGGTAAATAAAGGTACACGATAGAAGTATTAATTAACACTTTGCCAACTGATCGGATAAATTAATAACAACGAACACGTTGCCATTAGCAACGAGTTTCCTTTTTTTTTAATGAATTGTTTTCTACTGACGAATTGTTTCCATAATAAAATCCATCAATTTAGTTTGGCTTATTCGAGCGTGGTTGGCCAAGTGTTAATTGTTATTTAAATATATATTACATTAACAATATATTGATAGCCTATAATTTATGTACAGTGACCAATAATTGAAAAGCAATCCACTATTGACGACTTGTTATTGATATCATTAAAAAGAACCGGAAGAAACATTTAACATGGGGAATAATTCTGAAAATGTCGATGATGTACGAAAAATAATATTAGCTTTATTAGTTTCTCGAAAAGATCCTCTTTCTTTACAAGCATTAGCTAAAGATTATTTTGACCAGGAAGGTGAATCTATACCATGGAAAGAATTAGGGTATGCTTCATTATTAGATTATTTGAAAAGCTTATCAGATTGTGTATCTTTAGAAAAAATTGATGGTACATATTATGCTCGTGGTATTGCTAATAAATCTAAACATATTAGTTTATTGGTAGCAAGACAGAAAACATATTTAAAAAATCAATCTTGCGTACGTAAATATAGACCCAGCCAATATTATCCATTTGCATCAATGCCGAAGATTTGCGTACCTGCTAATATATTAAGCGATTTAGTATTGATGATTAAACAATGTCCACATGGTATTAATAAAGATTATGTGTTAAAATGGTTGAATATTCAATTACCAGAGTTAAACTTGTCTATAACAGATCTGGAAAACTTAGTAAAAACTATGTCGCATAAAATATATACAGATGGACATAGAATCTTTTCATTTCAGAATGAAAATAAATCTGATAAATATTGGGGTACAAAAACTTCACTAACGGAAGAAAATGAATATCTACAGTTTAAAGATTATGAGAAATCTAGGTATGTTGTTAGTGGGGATACCGAATCTGAGAAAGAATCAGATGGTGATGTAAAGAAGAATCAGATGATGAAGAGTAAAGATAATAAAAAGCAAATTTTTAAGAACCAACCTATTTCTACATTTATAGAAACGACTGCATCTGACTTTCATAAACAAGTTAATAATTATACACAACAATATAGTTCGGAAATTAATGCTTCTTTAGATAATCATTTACAAAAATATCACGAAGAGGATATTACACTTTTTGATAAAAAGAATATAAGATTACTTATAAGTGATAAAAATATGTATCGACTAGAAAAACTCATTGAAAAACATCCAAATGGTATTTGGTGCGCAGATCTTCCTAAAAAGTATCTAGAAGAATATCATGTACCTTTGAATTATGACGAACTAGGTTTCAGTAGTGTACGAGAATTTGCATCGTGTTTGCCAGAAATCTTTCATTGTAAAAAACTTTCACAATCAGAGGATTTTATTCTTTATAATGCTAAAGATGAATTAATTGATATCAATGAAAAAATACCTCCAAAAAAAGTTGGATCGTACACTCAATCGCATTTGATAGAAAATGAAACAAACGCTTTGCCTGTCATATTAGTAAGTAATATTTGAATATAGTATATAGTTTATATAATATTACATTATTATTTATTTTCATTATTTTATTATTATTATTATTATTATTATTATTATTATTATTATTATTATTACATATTTTATTTATATTTTATAGTCAAATAATACGTCTAACAAACTAATCCCAGAAGACGTAATGACTCTAGGAGAATCTGTAGAACAAATATATGTAAAAAATCTACAAAATGGACCACAGCAATGCGTAGAAGTTTATGTTGAAGAAGTATTTACACCATCATTATTTTGGATACAACTTCGTAAGGAACGAAAACATTTTTCAAAGTTGATGGATGCTCTTCAGTAAGTTATTTTATCATGTGTTATATTATATATTATATTTTCCTTGTGTAAATGTATTTAATGTTTTTTTGTTATAGTATATTTTACGAAGAACACTTCTTAAATTATAAAATTCCTATTGCTGTGCTTGAAAAAGGTTTAAATTGTGCATGCAAATATGATAATATTTGGCATAGAGGGATAATTAAATCTGTTAGATATGATCTACACGTAACCGTAAGTAATTAAACTCAAGATACTATTTTCTATGACCTATAAAAACATTAACTAAAATTTAATTTTCTTTTAAACAGATAATGTTTTACGATTTTGGAACGTTGAAAACTTATTCGCCTGATGAAATATTCTATTTACATCGATCATTTTCGTATTTACCAGCTCAAGCAATACCATGTGGCTTGTACAATATTAAACCATGTGTTGGAGAAAAATGGTCACAGAATGTTACGCAAGAATTTGCTTGTAAAATTTATGAACAACCTCTTGTTGCAACTGTAGTATCAACTGATCCAGAGGTAAATAATATAAATACTACATTATTAAAGATTTAAACACTTTGATTGATAAATTTATTGTTAGTGATAATTTAGACATTTAATGCCATATTTAATATTATTACATGCTTTTAATTTAGAATAATTCTATGCTGGTAACTTTGACTGATACACAAGAAGAAGAGGATGTACATATTAATGATTGGATGATTCATCAAAATCTGGCAGTATGTGGACAAATGGTTCGTATTAGACCTCGAAACTTTCCATTTTATTATTACTTAGAATCTAAAGGAATTAACAATATCAATATTGAGAATCTTAATAGTTCTACATTAGATATTTCGAATACTAACGAAACATCTACAATAAATTTATTTCAAAATATAAATAAACGTCCATTATCTACATCTTTACCAAATGATTGTAAAAGCGATATTACTTTGAGTAATTCGAAAAATTGTACTCAACTTTTGGAAAAATCAAATAATTTCATCCAGAATAATCATTCCAAGATATCAACAATATTTGATGATCAGTTACAAGTATTACAAAACAGTAAACAATATTTTTCTGATATTGAAGTTTTGTCAAGTACTTCAGAAAAATCAGAACTTGTTTCCAATGTTACTGAAAAGCAAGAACACAAGGACATACCTTTGCCAAAGAGATATTTCACAAATTTACTTAATTACAGTCAAAATTTACAATCGAAATATCAGAATTATGATGTATCACCTGATGATAATATCGTACCAACTATTAAATCTTACAAAGTAATTTCTAATTTTAATAATTACATTGATTTAAAAGATATCAAAATAGGTGTATCAGAAATAATTATTTCTACATTAAGGACTGATAAAAGTCAAGTAAATGATCAAAGTTCTGTTAATGCAATACAAAATACAAATGATTCATTAAATCATTTTGAACAATTAAAAAGTTGCAATGATTTATGCAAGTTAGTTAATAAGAATAATTTGTCTAGTATGATTAAAACTAATCAAAAAAGTGATAACGTGGGTGAAAGTTCTAAGACTAGAAGTCAACTCTATAATGAATGCAATGAAGATACGAAATTGAATGTTAACGATTATTTTAACTTAGAAAATTGTGATGATAATAATAATAATAGTAATGAAACAAAAAAAGAAGTATTAGATGTTCGTACAAATAAGGAAAACTTTAACTCGATTTCACGTAAAAATATCAAAGAAAATTATTTAATGAAAATTGCTTCTCGGTTACAATCACTCTTAAAAATAAAAAACTGTAACTCTGAATGCACAGAACTGCATAAATCCACTGAAACAAGTTACAATAAACAACAAAATAAATTGAATAAAAATCAAAGAGAAGAAAATTTAGATAATGATCTAGAAGATAACAACGATGAATGTAATATTGAAAATAAGGTGAATGGTTTTTATGGAAAGAAAAATGGCAATGAAGAAGAGGAAATTGGGAAAGTAAATGATAATAAGAGTTTAGAAGAAGATAAAAATTACAATAATGATGATTGTAAAGATAATTTAGTATCTCAGATGACCAAAATTGAAATGATTGAAGATGTTCAACACATTTCGTCAAGTGATATTGATTGTTTGAACAATTCGGACAATATAAGTAAAATTGAAAGAAATATTGAACAAGCAAAGGACTCCTCTACAATGCCATTAATGCAATCTAATATTGTAGAACAGAAAGATGAATTGAATGAACATCTACGAGAAGAACATAAATTAATATTGGAAAAATCATGTGAAGAAATAATACAGGCAGATGATAATGATTTAGAATATGATAATGATGATAAATGGAGTGTTGTAGGTAACTTGGATGATTTTATTCTTGGAAAGGCTATTTTGTCAAGTTTAAGCGTTAATCCGATGATTAATAATAATGGTAACGAGTAAAAATAATGGAATATAATGGATGATAGAAATAACAATAATGATTGAGTTAATTCTCGATTAAAAATAAAGGCTTTTTTATAGATGTAGATAATACACGTTATTAACAATAAAATGAGCAGAATCGTTAGTATTATCGTTATATGAAGTTTTGAACAAAGTTTTATTTAAAATTTTGTTCATTTATATATTTTAATTACATTAATATCTAAAATCTAAAAAAAAAAAGAAAAAAAATTATATTACTTTTGTTAGTTCCTTTTCTTATAACACTTAGGGAGAAATATATTACTTTTAATGTTTTATTATTTTGTTTGGTGTAATAGAATTTTATATATATATAAATATATATTTAGAAAAATAAAGATTATCTTTTTATTCTAATTATTGTATCTCATTTATTTTATTAGTATTTAATTAATATAGATGATGATTCTTAATAAAGTAAAATATTTTTCCCTAAGTAACTTTTTAGCTTTAACATTATAACCAAAAATAAAAATGAAAATATTAATATATGAAATTTTCTTTTGTGATCTGTAGGGTGATGTAGTTGACATGAGTAATTTAATGTTATTTGTGGAGGAAAATTTACTTTATAATCCAGAAAAATGTTATGAAAAGGATTATGATATTCCTAATGTAAAAGATGATGAAATTCATAACAACGGTACAGAAAACATTCCTTTGATATCACCTAAGAGCACATTACCTAAAAACGCATGCAAAATGGATTTTAAAACAAATTTTAAGCCATTTTCAAACGAATCAACGTATTTCAAGACTATGGGAGAAGAATCAGGCAATCCTTTCTTGGAAAGCATAAGAAAGCAAACAGAGTTTTTTAATACTTCGTTACCAGAATTGTTTATGCAAACATTGGAGACAAATGAAACATTTCAAAAGCAAATATCATTCATATTTTCTTATCTTATTTTAAAATTGGACCCAAATTTTCTCGAAAATAATTATAATTTACCAGAAAACGAATTAAAAAAAAATTACGAAGAATGTTTGCTTCATACTTCTAAATTATTGACAAATTTTGTTATAGAAAAGGATATATCAATGTTATCAACAGTAAAAGCACCAAACTATTTAAATACTGACATTGGTTTACAATTTGACCAAAATAAAAGAATGTTTATACCATTATTTGTAAATAATAATAATAATAATTATGTTGCTAATAAAAAGTCAAGAATCAATGACTATAATAAAAACAAAGAACAATACGAATTATTCGAACCAAACAATGACACGAATAATATTGTTTTGAATTCAGAACCACAAATTCCATATGTTCAACCTTTTTATACTGATCATGATAAAAGTGCTATTATAAATTCTTGTGAAGAAAAATCAGCTAAGACTGAATTAAAAACCAAAACGGCTGCTTTTCCACATCAAAATTATATTAAAGATAAAAGTAAAAATGAAGTGAATATATTTGATGCAATATTAAGAGGAGAAATAACATATAATGAATTTGATAAAATCAATCTTTTTAATGAAACCAATCCATTTAAAATAACATTAAAACCGAAAGGTAAAAACAGTCAATATGAAACGTCTAATATGAATTTTTTCACATCATTAAGGAGTAATGTAATAGAAGAATCATCAATTAATTCAACATTTGTATCAACATCAAATATCGCCGGGATATCAAACGAATTAGGGTACGATAGAAAAAAATTTAATCCTAATTCCGAACATAACTTCAATATGCCAAGTACAGAATATATTAATAAATTAAAAGTTCTTGGTTCACAAGAACCGATAAATTCTGAGAGAAATTACATTAAAGACGTGGAGAATGGACGGTTATCTCTAGTAAATGTTCCAAATAAATCATACATAAATCAATCATGTATGGACTCAATAGGAATGTCTAACATACATCAACAGTACCAAGCTACTGCAGCTAATTCTAATAATTACGAAAAAGCAAATACAAATTTTGATTCGAAGTATACAAGCTATCCCTATAGAAAATATACAAATAATAACGAAGGGAATATTAATTCTGATCGTTGGGAAGGAGCTGCTGTAGAAATTAATACAGTATTGACAGCAATTTATTTTCGAAAAATAGGTTTGTTTTTAATCTTTATATTATTTTGTATTAAAATTTTGATTTTGATGCGAGTAATGTTTTTTATGTTATTTATATAGATTTAAGCAATAAGGAAATCTATATATTTCATTTGGATAATCAAGGATGGTTACGAGTGGAGGATTTTGTGAGCGAATGTACTAATTATAAAACAATTACAGAATTCTACGAAAAGTTAGATAACAATTGTCTTTCTGTTATTGAATTTAAGACAATTAAAAAATATCCACTTTTTCTATACGATCAGTGAGTATAATCAAAATTACATAATAAATATTATATTATACTTCAAAAAGAGAGATTTTTATATTTTTTATATATTTATTTTAGTATGACTTTAACTGGGATTAGAGAGGAGATGAACAAGGGTTTATCTATTCATCTGATAAATATAAATTGTATTTTAATTATAATGGGTAAACTTGGAATAATTCCGCCCGGAGGTCAATATGATGATATTATTGGAGTAGATAATAAAGCATTTTTCTATAATGCATGTGTAAGTATTGTAGAGTAATTACAATCTTTATCCAATAGCGATTTATAATCTTTGCAATCATTCTATAATAATTTTTCAGATTGTAAAGGCTAAATATCGGGCATTGAGATCTTCTATACCAAAAAGGTTGGAATGAATATTAAGTTGAAATTATAACTTAACTAAAAAATCAAAGTACGCATGGACTTGATATCAGGTATATATAATGATAAATTATAAGCCTCTTAATAAAAAATGTGATTATGAAAGGTGTAAATTATTTTTGTATCAGATGTAAATCAGATGTAAAAATTCATGTAAAAATATATTTTTTTAATACAATTCATATATAGGAAATATATAAGAATCATGTATTATAAAGTATAATATCAAACATATAGAATTATGTTATTAATAAGAAACAATGTGTATTTATTATACTAAACGCTTTTTATGCAACCAAAGTTCTTAAGGAAGTACAACCAATAGTTATAATAGTAATTGTTACAATTAATTTTAATGTAATTGTTATAATTTATGAGTATATTATATATACTCATATAGTATATAATAAATATTATAAAAAATGCTATGAGAGAAATATACTGTAATTTTTGTAAAAAATGTATTTTATTTATAAAAAATCATTAAATTTTTCTAATAAGAAAAAATGCCATTTTTTTTAAATATTATTATTTATTATTTTAAATTTTTCAAAAAGTCTATATAATTCGATATTTGAAAATGAGACATCTGTCGGAATTTTGTTGTATTATCGGTGCCACTCTAGATTCCGTAACAAGTAGCAATCAGCACTTCGTTGCAGACAATTTTGTCTGTTCAATGATTAAATATTAATATATCATTTTGTTTATTGAGTAAATTTCAAAATTACATTAATAACAATATAATGGCTGGAAAAGTAAATAAAGAAGCAGAGAACTTAAAAGGTCTTTCAAAATATTTTAATAGTGTAACTCTACAGGGACGAGCAAATGTAAGTAACCTTAATGTCATTTCTTACTGTTCCAACTGATACTTTTCTAAAAATGAATATTACGAAAGTAAATTGCAGCAATGCATGTATTAAACATCATTTTCAATTTTTTAGGTAGCTATGGCAACGTATGCTGGTTTAGCCGTACTTGGAATTTATCTTTATTTTAAACCAAAGAAAACTGCGACTAAATAAGAAGATGAAAGCATACAATCATCTTACATAATAATTTTGTTCATAAATTAGGTACGCTATTTACTTAATAAAAATGTAGTAAACAATTTATGATCTGTCTTTTTTGTATTTTAAATAATCTATTTCAAATTTATGATATTGTTGTAGACAAATCTTGCATTGCAAAACTTTTTGTTTTTTTATTATAATAGAATATTGTTAATATAAATATAACTGTTGAAATTGATATTAAATATTTGAACAAATGGTATGTATTATAATGTGAATTTTATTTTTAAAATAGATAAGTTTCAATTTATATAAAAAATCAATTGAAAATCTAGTAAGTTTATTTTACCAGTCGGTAAAATAAAGTAATAGTTTTTACCGCTAGATGGCGATAAATGTTTTACCAGTCGGTAAGATGAAGTAAGAGCTAGTACCGCTAGATAGCGGCACATATTTTACCAGTCGTTAAGATAAAGTAATAGTTATTACTGCTAGATGACGGCACATATTTTACAGTCGGTAATAAAATACAGATTTTCCAATACATATATTGTTGTTAAATGATTAAAAATGAATGTTCAATGTAAATCATTTTTTATATATTAAAAATAAATGTATCTTAACAGTATTTTTATTTCCTGTTTAACAAATCAAAGTAGATGATAATAAATAATAATAATAATAATAATAATAATAATAATAATAATAATAATAATAATAATAATAAAATTTTCCTTACCATCCCTCTTTTATTTATGTAACTTGCAGTATATATTTTTGTTCTGAGAAATAGGATAAACGTATGATCATACATCTAGATAACTTTTATTAACCAATATAATCGTATATCGTTACAAATGATACGGCAACTGGTGTGCCGCCCAACGAATTACAATGAAACGGCGCATCATCAATCTTTAGACCATGTTTAGGTACTAAAGTTACAGAAAATCGTGGAGGAAAAATTGGTGAATGAGAGAAATGTACAACAATCATTTAATTCGCTTATTAAATCGGCATCGAATAATAACTGCGTACGTACACGTCAACATTTATTTATAATTTTTACCTTTCGTTTTTTTTTTTATTTTTTTTATTTTATAATATTTTTTGTCATAATGTATTGCCTGCTATTTTAAACGCCGTTTCGTCTTAAACGTTAACACGCTTTCCTTTTCTTATTATCATTTTTTTTTGTCTCTTTTTTTATTTTCTCTTTCTCATTCTCATTCTCATTCTCTCTCGCTCTCTTTCTCATTTTCTCATTTTCTCTTTGCGTTTGTTATTATTTTTATTAATTAATTTTTTATTATTATTATTATTTATTTATTTATTTATTTATTTATTTATTTTCACATATCTTTGATATAATCGTGTCTCTTGTAAATTTCATGTGAGTACGTCATTTGTGCGCGCGTGTGTGTATATGTGTACAAACTGTTAATTATATTCGAAGACATCAAAAACTCACTACGTAATTGTTAAATAACGATGCATCGCGGATTTGTTATCGATTCTATCTCTCTCTCTCTCTCTCTCTCTCTCTTTCTCTTTCTTTCGTTTTCTCTTTCGCACACGATTACATGTACAATCGATTATTCCTTTTGCCCTTTCATCGAAGACGACCTAATTAATCTGCACTCTGTGCGATGAGAACGAACGTTTTATTAAATGTCGACCAAAATAATCTCGGTCGTCAGGTTGTCGACCTGACCTCAAATTACGAACCTTTTTGCGGAATGTTAAACATTCAAACGCGTATCCTCCCCTTGATACTCGAGTTTCTAATTGGTCTCATCAATTGAAAAATATTTCAGAGAAATATTTCTTAAAATGTACATGCATTAATAAATTCTAAACAATTTTTATTTCGTTAAATTCATATCAATTTTGTTGGATAATTTATTCAATATAGGTTTACGTGTACGTAGTTATATGTATATTTGTATATGTATAATTGAAAAATGTTTCAATAGGCAATTCATGTATTACATTTTAAACTCACGTGTATGTACAATCATTTGGTGCAAGAGTAACAAATAATTCTACTCAACGATTGAAAAATAAATAAACAATGTATGGAAGCTTTTATATACGTGTTTGTGTATGTATTTAAATTGAATCCGGAAATAGTACGCGTAACTAGGAGATGAAAATAAAAAAAAGAGTAACTTCACAGGTTGTACAAAATAACTTTGTCGAATAAACGAGCAAGTGGTGTTTTTTTTTCTTTTTTTCTTGTACGCGCTTTCTATAGAACGCTCAATGAAGTACTCGTAATTAGGTCAGGTCAAGCATGAGTGAATTGTTCATTTCAAATAAAAACAAACAAAATGTATACGATCGTCTTTCATAATGTTTTTTTCTCTAACATTTTCTTTCTCTCCTGAGTTGAAAAGTTTGAAATTATACAAATCCGCGACTACCTTCCTTGCTTAGGCTTACGGCTACTATCAAGATAATGGTGTACATATACAAGAGTTTATGGTTTTTTTTTCTCTTTCTCACGGACACACGCATACACACACTCACACACATACATACATACATACAATATAGATTAGAGACAGACACGAGCGTGGTGGCGATTTTTTATAATTAAAAGTCGTTCTTTTCAAAATCGCACATCTTTTTTTTCTCATACGCTCGTACATTTAACTCTCTCTCTCTCTCTCTCTTTCTTTCTCTCTTTCTCTTTTTCTCTCACTCGTTTCACTATCTCCCGTTGCAATTTATTATTCGCGTACGGGTATAACGAATTTTCATATTTGTGCAGTAAAAGTCAACCCAACCCACTTCTTTTTTTCTCTTTTCATATATCATCTCACGTTTTGTTGATTTATTTATTATCATTATTTTCCCCTTTTATGAATTCATTTTCGCAAGTTCCCGTTCCATTTTTGAAACATTTATCTTCCCACTGGTTTCGCATGTTATTTTCTCTTTTTCTTTTATTTATTTATTTATTTATTTTTTTGGGCTTTGTTGGTCCGGTGTGGCAGTGCCTCGTTTTAATTCATTCGCGGTGCAATTCAAAAATGTGAACACGCGTTTCCGCAAATATAGTTTCTTTTTATTTTTTTTTATTTTTTTATTATTATTATTATTTTGCATTGTATATTCTGTATCTCGTTTTTATTTTATTATTTTCTTTAATTTTCTTCAGAGATTTTTATTCTCTCTTTATTTATTTTGTTTTTTTTTTCTTAAGATTTCCACTGGATCGAAATTATTGTTGTTTACATCACTCGAGTCGATTACTTGATTGCCAAAATGGTAAAAGGAAGAGTGTTTAAATGTGCTCAAGGAGTATACAATTTCATTAACCAGATATTAATCCGTTCATTCATCCGTTTTTTCCTTCCTTCCTTCCTTAACTTCCTTCGTTTCAAATTTCTTCTTAAGCACTCGTAAGATTTCATCCTCCTATTATCGACAAGAAGATCATATTGTGGAAATACGATATTAACACGTGTTCGCGCCACGTTCATTTTCAAGGAAGTCCCCGTCAGGCCACGTACGCCGCTTAAATGTATTATGTTATACGCTGTCAGTCATAAATGACTGACATGGCCTAAACAAAAAGTCTAATGTCAGTCATCAATGGCTGACGTGGCGCTCAACGTGTTAACGTTGTTGTTTTAAGAGAAATACGAATTACGAAGAAACTCGAGTACACAACAACAACTACCCTATCCCATTCGAGCTTCTCTCACATACACTAATTTAATTGTAAGACGAACGATAACTTATTGAACATTATTAGATACTATTTACATATCGCACATCATCACGTTTCGCGCTGATCAAACAAACATCGCTGATTACAATCGATTTTGTCAATCGATTTTACAATTCTTCTTTTAATTCATTCATATATATTATTTATATTTATATATATATATATAATATATCGTATTATTTTTGTTTTGTTTTGTTTTCATTAATATAATGTTGTTCCAGATTACAAGCCTTATGTATATTATATATGTATAATTAAATCTGTATAATCGACCATAATGTCGATCATCTTTATGGTGATGACACCGGGTGAATCTAATAACGTTTTTTTTCTCTCTCTCTCTCTCTTTTTCTTTCTTTCATTTTCATTCTCATTCACTTTCACACTATCACATACGTACAATAATAATTCACATATTCTCTATTACACAATCATTCTCACTTTCTTTCAATATAATAATAATCATAATCATAATCGTAATAATAATAATAATAATAAATTCAAAATGTTTATAACTCGTAAGCTAAGGTACATACTTCCACTGCGGAATAATTGGGTTCTTTTTTTTTATTATTTTTTTTTCTCTCTCTACAGGACGGGGTTCAAAGGTTTAAGAATTGTTTAAATTGGAAAGGTGTTAGAGGTTTGTGGTGGTCAGTTTTTTTCACAAGGATTTTTAGACGGATCGACGAAATTATTCCCTATGCGATAAACAAGTTATTTGTGGTGGTGGTTTTTTATATATATATATATGTATATATCGTATTTGTCTGTTTTGAAACGATCTACGTACGATATATTATTCATAGTAAATGCGAATGGTCGACATTTCGCCATGACAGGCTTAATTACTAATCAAATGGAGACAATAATGATCATCTATTTTATTTGTTGATGGTGAAGTGTATGTACTTGTATGTGTGTTGCGAATACATCATATCTACCCGTGTTTACAAGATTTCTCACTCTAAGTTTTAATCTTTTTGCAATATCCGCCATTTTTTCTTTCTTCCTCTCTTTTTTTTCTTTTCTCAAAAATTATACTCAAAAACAATCGTTGCAAAACGCACGAGTGCATTAAAGTCTTTTTCTTTATTTATTTATTTATTTTTTTTTTAAAACGATTTCACGTTTAACGATAAATCGTTTTTTTTTTTTTTTAATTTCTCTTCTTCTTTGTATTTATTATTTATATCACGCAAAATATTATTTATATTCTATGTTGATGCGTGATATAGTTTATAATATTCGTCAGGTCAATTTCACTTTGATTGCAAAAAAATATTCTCTCCATTGTCTTTAACCCTTCTTCTCTCTCTCTCTCTTTCTCTCTCTCTCACTCTCTGTTTTATCTTTCATCTTTTTCTTCTCCTTTTTATTTATTTTATTTATCTTCTTCTTTACTTTCTGCCATATTTTTTCTTACCCTCCACCCACCCACATTTCTGCTTTTTTTTTTTCTTTCTTTTTTTTCTATCTTTCTTAATTTTTCTTTATTTTTCTTTTTTTTTTTAAAGATAGACAACAACTATTTTCTCAACTTTTTCCATTTTCTCAACTTTCTCTCTTTCTCTCTACACGATTTTTCGTAAATCTTTAAATCACTAAATTCGATCGTTCTAAAACGTCTCGAATCGTTCAACTAATGCAGGTGCATTTATAAATAAATTCAAGTGTCGTTTAAAATGGAGCCACTTTTAAAAGGGTGAGCGTGTTTTGAAATATTTCTCTTTTTTTTTTTTTCCTTTTCTTTTTGTTAATTTTTTTTTTTTTTAATATTTATTATTATTATTATTATTTCGTTCCCCTTTTTTATTTTTTACTTTTAATTATCTTTCGTAGTTTTTCTTCTCTTCCTTCTTCTTTTTTATCACTCTCTCTCTCTCTCTCTCTGTTTCTCTTCGATAAAAGATTCTAAAACGAATTCTTAAAAATAATTTGTCGTTTGTACTCCGCGGGCACGCAACGAATCGTCGTCATCAGCTACTTTATTTTTTTTTATTTTTTTTTATTTTTTGGCTTTATTCTTGCATTATTTGTTCATTGTATAAGAGAATACACCTTCCCGTAGTTATTTGAAAAACAAGACGAAAAATAAATAAATAAATAAATAAATAAATATAATAAATAAATAAAGAACAAAAATCTTTTAACCTCGGAAATTGGCTAACGATAAAAAAAAAAAAAATATCCTNAAAAAAAAAAAAATATCCTGCGACCGTATTTATTATATTTACTTTCTTCTATTGCCTTTAGTTTCTCTTTGAAAAAAAAAAAAAAAAAAGATAAATTTTGTTCAAACATAATGCAACATTTAAATGACCCTATTCTTGCATCGAGTGTGTTTACCTCCCACCCACCCACCTTCTCCGTTGAACTACTTTACAAAAAATTTCATCTAATAAAATTCTCTTATTCTTTTTCGTAATTTTTCACAAAGTCCGAGAGCATCGTTTCGAATACTTTCGAAAGATTCATTAATTTTTTTTTATAACTTTGAGTATGTTTTAATTAAATACGCCTCAGAGAAACAAATCAAATTTTGTTATATTCTATACAAAGAAAGAAAAAGAAAAATACAAAAAACAAAAAAAAAATAATATTTAAAACGAGGTCGTTTTTATATCACAGAGCGGCTTCGATTTTGACTGGATAATTACGAACGATATTGTAAATCGCAAGATTAAAAGTTATACGTGTATGTATATTCGTGTATAATATTTATATATATATTTATATCTCATGTTTTCTATATAATCTCGATGCATGACGGGCTTTGATTGGTGGTAAACGGTATTAGTAAATAGTACTAGTAATAGTAATAGAATTAGTAATAGTAGTAGTGGTAATGGTAGTGGTGGTATCAGTGGCATTGGTGCTGAATGACGAAGGTACATATATAATATATATAAAAGTAGAAAAAATTTGGCGGCAGTATGTAGAGATCGTTAAAAGTGAGAAACGCGATTTTAAATAGACAGGGAAATTCGTTATTCTCAATATTTTGTTGTCTTTTTATTCAATTCGGCATTCATTTATCACCGTGATCTTATTAATCATCGTTTGTTCCCTTTTTTTTATATTCCTTCGCTCTTTGGTAGATTAAGAAAAAATAAAAAAAAAAAAAAATAAAAATAAAGAAAGGAAAAAAAGAAGAAGAAGAAGAAGAAAAAAAAATATTTCTTTTAAAAATCCTATTCGAACGTTTCAAATTATCTGCCATCCTTTTTGTTCCCTCCATATATATATATATATTCACACTTTTGTTATTTCCCAATAGTCTTCGTATAGAAGCAAGCATTTTCATATTCGTTGTTGCATACTCGATCGAGGAAGTTTCTTTTTACGTTCAAAGTAATAGAAAAGAAGAGAAAAGTAAGAGTTCCAATCGGAACGAGCCTTAATTCGAGTCACAAAGGTACACAATTCTTATCGCGAAGCTTAGCTTCAGATAGGTTTAGGGATAATTTCGATCGAAGGATAATCCATCGTTATAGTTTTGAAAAAGAGAATGGGAGAAAGAGAGATGATGAACGTTGTTATTTCACTCTTTCTCTCCCTCTCTCTTTCTTTCTTTCCCTCCGTCCATTTACCAATACATTTCCAGATATTCTCTTGCTCTATCTCTTTCTTCTTTCTCTAACCGATATCGTAAAACGTATCCAGCAAGGTGATATTCCTCGTTGTCCTACTCGAGTCGTGCCTTGTAGCTGGTTTTCCAGATCTCAGCGAGCGTAACGGCACTGTGGAACCTGTGAAAGATGCACAGAGGTAGGGTAACTCTCTGTACGATTGCCCAAGCGAGGAATCCATAGAAATCCAGTTGTACGGGATTAGCGATGACCTTTTGCATCTCGAAAGTATAAATGACCCACATGGTGACGTTGCAAATGAGAAGGAAAGTGACCACTTGACGGCCTGGTTTGCTTCGATCGTGTTCAGGTAAATGTACCCTCCTGCGTGATACGTCAGCGATGAATAACATTTGTAAAACGACCTGGGAGACTGAGAGAAGACCGGTCACCATAACCAGAAGATTAGGTTCGTGTGTGAACGCTGCTAGGGAACCTGCGATCACGCTGAATACTGCATACACGAATAATCCAAATGCTGATACGCGTAATAGTATGTCGTTCAAATCGCTCTGTTCTTCTGCCTTGAATTTGAGACTTTGTACGCGTATAAAACCGACTATTATAGCGACGATCGATAATGCCATAAGTACGCAATGAGAAACGTCTGCCAGATAAATCGCCAAAAGTCCAAGTTCCGAGTGATGGATCAGCACGAAGAAGAGTATCAGACAGATCAATGAACCCACCAGTAGCAGCAGACCAAAGAATAGACCCTTGCTTGCTCCGACGCAGTCCACTCTGGCATGTCCTACATATTCGTGTGTTTTTTTTTTTTTATATTTAAAAGCATGCTCAAGTTAGATCTCGTTATTACGAGCTCGGTTATCTTAGACGAGAAATAGTAAAAAAAAAAAAAAAATAAAAAAGAAAGTAGAAAATGAGCGCTTGGAATAAATTATAATCGATTACCTGCATGAGCTAGGGCGACCGCCCTTCTCGAGAGCATGACTTCCAGACGACGCTCGAGATCAGCTTCCGCTTGATGAGGCCAACGTGGGTGTCTACCGATGTGTTTCCACATGACGTATATCACAGCCGCGCCGATCAGGCTATACTCGATAATGAAGGGGAACAAGTAGGGTGCTGCGTCTTGGACGATAGTGCCCATGATGTTGACGCGACCACATGAGTTTGTTATCGTACCATCCTCCGTCAAAGCTTCCGCATAAAAGCCAAGATTCTGGCCCCAGTAATCACTACTGTTTGTCGCATTGTTCACGTAAAATACTTCATGTACCTAAACAAGATCAAACGAAATTTCATTTATATTAATATTGTTTTAATATCAATTTGTTGTTTGTCTTTATAACAAATTAATCAAACATACCTGATCTTTAGTATCGGCTTGAAATGAATCAAAGAAATCACCAAAAGCGTTTGATAAAATGGAAGCTGGGGTTGTGGTCGTTGTTGTAGTCGTAGTGGTGGTAGTCGGTGTTGTAGTCGATGGCGTGGTACTTGGGGTAGTCGTTCTTTCTGTAGTAGTGCTCCTTGTAGTCAGAGTGGTCAACAAAGTGGATAACGTGGTAGCAGCTGTAGTCGTCAAATTGGGCAAGAACGTAGTGGTTGTAGTGGTGGTGGTTGTACTCTGTGTTGTACTAGGTGATGTCATGAAGGCCGTAGAAGCTGCTGTTGATAAAGTATGCGCTACTCTTGGGATTGCTTTGACAGTGGTTCTCATAGCTCGAGTTAGAGATTCTGCTGTTGTCGGAATCAAGGTCGAAGCTACCGACGTTGTTTTTACAAACGAATGCAATGGGGATTCTCGTAACTGGGCCATATCCCTAGGCTGCGTACCTAAGATTGCTCCAGCGTTTCTTAACGAGTGTTGTTTGATACTCTCTACGATAAAACATAACAAACGTTCAATATTCATCTGTTTTTCTTTTTTTTATTTGATACGAAAGTTAAAAAAAAATACCTAAAATTCCAGCTTCCTCTTGTCCCAATCGTTGATGATATTGCGTTATCTCTTTAAGACTTTCGAGTACCAAAGTACGAATCCAAACGCAAAGATTCGTCGCTACCACGTGCATCAAACCGAATCGTGCAATTACTTTGAATCGATGAATGTTCAACTGATTGTAAAAAAAAAAATTAAAAAAAAAACAAACAAACAAGAAAAAAGAAACACGATATCGTCAGATTAAAAAGATCAATTTAATTACAAAACACAAATATTTTTGTCGCTTACCCTGGAATTCATGAAGATAAAGTACATTTGCATGAACGTGAAAATCATTTGTAGAACTGGATTAACACCCTGAAGTATTTGATAACAGGGCGAGGTAGGTGGTACTTCGAAAAATGCTCCGAATTCCAATCCGTTATAAATCATCGTGCCCAAACCGAATGCTAATTAACACGTGAAAGAGGTAATCCAAAATATTCATTGATGAGAAAATAATCCACTTAATATTTTTGTTTTGTTTTTTTACCTATGGCACCGATTCGTAGGAAAAAGCTTCCATGACTGTGATCATTCTGCGAAGTTTTTCGTTTACGTAAAGCACGCGTTGCAACGCCAGCTTCCACGTCTGCTGCATCCTAAGATCAATTTTTTCCCCAAGTCAGAAAGCTATTCTTTCGAGAATAAGATTGATTGAGTTATCCCGATGAAAAACGATACGAATAAAGGATAAAAAAAAAGAGAAAGAGAAAGAGAAAGATAGAGAGAGAGAGAGAGAGAGAGAGAAACACACATATACACACACGTACACAACGTTCGAGTCCCTCTTTGGCAGGAGTGCAATTCAATTACGCTCAATCTCGATAAAAAAAACTTCCCCGTAAAACATTCCAACTTCCATCGCACGTTCCATCTTAATTCTTGACGTTTAAAAATATAATCAAATAAATGACTCCCCGAATGGTTAGAGAAATACCAATGCAAAACGATTAAATCACATATTTCTACATACACGTGTGTGTAGGTAGTAGGATCGTTGTTAAAGGTAAAAGAAAATGGAACGCCTCGTGCTATAAATATCAAATCTCCTCGCGAGACGTTTCGCATTAACACAAAAGAGTTTATGAATATTAAAATACGTAGGTTCTCGGCTAACTAAGAGAGAAGGAAGAAGAAAAAAAAAGAAAAAAGAAAAAGAACGGCCTCCTCTTCTTGGTGTACGTACGAAGATAAATAGGCAAGCTCGTTAAAAGGAGTCTTTATCCCTCTCTCACTCCCTTCTCCTCCTCCTTTCAATCTCTGTCTCTTTCTATCCCTTGCAAAAGGAAAATAAAACAGAGAGAGAGAGAGAGAGAGAGAAAGAAATAGCGAGTAATTAATTCGATAGGCGCGAATCTTTTGAAATTTACTTGGTGTCGATTGCGTTCGTTCTCATATTTAAAAAGTTTAATACTTAACCTGAAAATCTTTCTTGTTTTTGGCAGCCTTTTGTTCCTTATCCTTCTTGTCCTTTTTATCCTTCTGCTCCTTGGGTGGTTTTTGTGGCCTAGGTGGTGGTGGCGGTGTATCACTGCCGCGCGCACAGCAGGCGCTTTCTTGTAGAAGGAAGCAGAATACGTAAAGTAGGAAGAGTATGCTTGCACCATACAAATACGTGAAAAATCCTTCGTAATAGTAGAGCGGTAATTTGTGTGTTACAACTTCGCTTATGACGTAAGCGATACACACAACGACCAATAATTTAGCGTAGATGAAGCTCATGATGATGAACAGCGACGTTCTGTGAAGAAATACGAAAAAGTCAGATTATTAGACAATAATAAGAAAAATTCAAAAATAACTATAGATATAGGTACACGAACTCTCGGATTATGAAACAGAGAATAAAAAAAAAAATCTCAGCGTCTAGGATAAGCTTCTGTGATTCTCTGATCACATAACCGCATATCTCTATGGTGTAAAATTAGATTTTCTAAATAAAGGAAAGATGCACCCTTTTATATTGCATAGCATCGTCATATTTACAACCTGGTAACACCTTATATAATGTTTCGTTAATGGCTCGATAAAAAAAAATTACATTACCGTTTTTTCTTGATCATTTGTATTCTACTGTTAACTGTCTGCACCGAATTCGTTCCATTGACCGTATTGTTTTCTACCAGAGGAACAATTTCAACTTCCATGATTACAATGTTTTTTTTTTTAAAAAGAAACAAAAATAAAACGATTATAACGAAAGATACGACACTTCACTGTTACTTTTGTTTGTTATTGTCACGTATTAAAGAATGAATTTTTATCCGCGTATTTTAATTGTCTCGTTCCAGTTTTGTTCTCTTGTTCTTCTGTTTGTTCCTCTTCTCTCACTAAAATCCCTTTTTGTTCTATTTTTTTGAAAATCCGTTTATCGATATAATCGACGCAAGTACAACTGCAACGTACTTTCGACGCGTCTACTTAAGGCCACAAAGTCTCGACGTCGTATGGTGTGCATCTTCGAGCAGAGAAGGGCTTAACCACCCTTTGTCCCCGTGGCATTTCAGGGGTTGAGGCGCAGACCTTATTGTGTTCCGCACGAGCTCGTACACTCGACACAGACACTTTTTACTCGATGGCTATCGCAATAGATATAGAAGAGACATATAAAGAAGACTTTTTTTTTAAAGTGCACAGGCGTGTCACGTATTAATAAAAGCATTAACCTTTAGCACTAAGTTTTTCTTCTTTTTCTTTTTTTGTTTTATTTTAACGAGACGTGTGTCTGTATATACAAAAAAAAAAGAAATATATACTTTATAATTTCATCGGTGATGTAATGTTACGTAAAAATCATCTGATCTATTATAAAAATGTCATTATTTTATGCATGTGTTTTTTGTTGTTTTCGTTCTTTGAAAATGTTCATATAGTTCTGTATTTTATTTCTCAGAAAAAGAAAGAAAAAAAAAGCTTAAAAAGGACAGTAGATTTTTCGATGAGCAACAGCAGTTAGAAGCAGCATCCAGTACACAGCCTTTTTACCACTCGTGAACGAGGAAAACGCTAGGAAGTGGAAACAGTGGTGTATAGTACGGACTCGGAGAGTGGTCCAGGCAACCGGTCGATATTTCGAAGTACCTACTTTCAGCTCCTGGTTCTCTTCTCTCTCCCTCCGATCCTCTCGACTCACCCTCGCCCTGTATCTTTGTCCCTCGCTAAATTTCTACCCTTCGATCGTCATTTTCTACCCCTTTTCTTTCTTTCTCTCACTCCTTCTCACACTCTTTCTTTCAATTCTTTGAATATCAACGACCTCCTCACGATTTCTCTCGTCCTTTTTCTTTCAACGACTTCTTTTTTTTTCTTTTTTTCTTATTCTTCTACGTTTTAATCCGAAAGCATCACCAAAGTGAAATTCAAATCACCCCTTTTCGTAAGTTCTCTTCTTTATGTTTGTTAAATTCTTCCTTTCTTAAATATGCGAACGTTTGCAACTATGTTGCATCGTAGTTGTTAGCAGTCAACGCGAGATAGGAGAATGTAGTAAAACGAGACGATTGAGAGATTTGACTACTACTGTGGAGAACGAAAAGACACACACCGCACTCGTCGTTTCGTAGAACTCGTCTAGACTGACGCGAGTGAATAGACAGAAGCTAAAGCTGGATAGAACCAACGTTAATGCTATTGCGACTATGAGTAATTCGAGAAGCCATTCCACCGCCACAGAAAGCGTACATGCTTAACACGAGTGTCACGCTCGGTGTTGTGTGCCTTCGATCTACATATGTGACAAGAGATAAAATACTTTCGGATTCTCTCGTTTAAAGAGAAAAAGAAAAAGAGAATAAATAAACAAAACAAATAGAAAGAGAAGGAGAAAGAAAGAAACCCGTTGCTTCGTTTTTCTTACATCTACCCGAGAAACCCGACTCGCTGGAATTTCAAACGAAATTCTTTACTACGTACAGTCGTTGAGAAAAGTACAAATAAAAAGAAAGAGAAAAAGAGAGAGAAAGAGAAAAAACATGCTCCAGTTACAATTATGATAATCACATTTTAACGATATTGAAAGATCCAACTCGTCCTCGAAAGAGTTTCAACATTTTCATTTCAATCTGTTTTTTTTAATTTTTTTTTTTTTTTATGAAATAAATCTGTTTCATGATTCTGACGACTTTCCTTCTTTACGGTATCATCTTGCTTTCTCTCTCTCTCTTTTTCTATCTCCTTTGTCACGCTCGGTTGGTTGTTTCCCTCGAGGTAGGGTGGTTCCTTCTACGTGCACGAGTGCATACTCCTTCTCGTGTACATATAATGTATGCGTTAGTCCACCACGTTCTCCGTTATGTCGTACACGTACGTCCGCTGTTGTACGTCAACGATGTATGTAAGTACTACATACATTCCATACGAGCTAACGAAGTACGTCATAAATAGAAACACCGGATAAAACCAGAAGATTCTTTAGCATATATAACATGCATGTGTCGTGTTCACAGATGCACCTTACTTCTATATATATATATATATATATATTTTCTTTTTTTCTTATTGTTTTTCCTTTCGACAAGAAAAAAAAAACCGTTCCAATTATTTGTCCCCCATTTTCTACGCGTATTCCTTTTTCTTTTTTTCTTTTTTTTTTGTTTTGTTCGTGCGTAACGATGCAGCTAACAACTAAATTTTAATTGCAATTTCATTCGTACTATGGTGAATAATAGAACATTTGTAAAATAAAATGTAACTAATGCCTAGATTTATTTATTACTAATACTAGTATAATAAGGAACGAAACACATGTCAATATGTTCGATCTAATCATTGACAACTATAAAATGTGTTACATCCCTTCTTTCTAAGATTCCCCCCTTCGATAATCCCCATTCACCCACCCTCTTTGACCCCCTCCCCCCTATTTTTTTTTTTGCCCGTCATTCCTCCGGATATATTCCTTACTTTTTCGCTGGCGTAGATCGTACGTTCTTCAGCTCCATTTCTTTATTAGCTGCGTTGTTCTTCTCTGCGTTGTCCTGCGCGTTAGGGGGTGAATTTTGCGGATTTAGAGGCCTCGTGACCGGAAGCGTTGCCGTGTTGTCACCCGCGGCTGCCGCTTCTACCTCCACGGTAGCGACTTTACAGTCTCCACCACCACCGTCCATCGTCAATGTCTTCTTCTTCTTGTTCTTTCAATTCTTCCTCTTCTTGTTCTTTACTCTTTCACGCGGTTCCTAACGATCTTTAAATATATCGTTCGTACGTTTCTTCGTTCGTTTTGAAAATCGTTTTTAAAATGGGATGAAAATGATCAAATGGAATGACAATCAATTATTTATGAAGGAATGGATAAAAGAGGAAAATAATCGAACGATTGTGAAATATTAGGCCGCCATTTTGGTGAACGCCTCTCGACTATTAAAATGTATCGAATAATATGTGGGAACATTTATATGAATAAAATAATATATTTCAATGAAATTAAATCGAAAGATGATTGGAAGAGTACGTTTAACAAATGAACGTTCTTACGAGAAAGATTAAGGATTAGATTGATTAGATTGATTGGTAGCTAGGATGAAGAGGGTGAATGGGGAGGATTGGAAGAAAAAGAAGATGACGGAATAGGAAAATGAAAATAAATAATTTGATGGTTAGAGAAAAAATTGTGTAAGAGACGAGAGAGAGAGAGACGCGTTGCGAGAGGCTGAAAGGTACGACAGATACTCCCGAGCAAACCCTTTCGCGCACACAGGGACGCGTCTATCTCTCTCTCTCTTTCTATGGGAGGGTGCATAGAAAGAGGGTTTTGTTGGTAGAGCCTTCTCTTCAACCCACGACGATGATGATGATGATGATGATGATGATGATGATTATGATGAGGGCTAAATGAGCGGGTTAGTGACCAACAAAAAAAAGTAGATGGAAAGTTAAAGGAAAATAAGAGAGAGAGAGAGAGAGAGAGAATGAGAGATAAAGAGAGAAAGAGAGAGAAAGAGAGAGAAAGAGAGAGAAACGAAAGAGAAAGGACTATCACGAAAGTGTCTCTGATCCCGCGCACTTGGTCGAACGAGCTAATGGAAAATCCCGTGCGCACGACCGAACCTTTCTCTCTCTCTCAATAACCTGGAAGAATCAAGTACACTCTCTTTCGCTCGAATTAACGACAATAACAACGACAACAATGACGATGACGATGATACCAATGATGACGATTCATGATGACAACGAGAACACAATAATATACACATTCTCTCTTTCTCTCTTTCTATTATTTTACTTTGTCAATTTGAATTTCAGTCACTAAGTCAAAAGTGTTTAGAGAAAGAATGAACGAACGAACAAATATACGAACGAACGAACAAACGAACGAACGAACGAACGAAGAAGGCTTGCTCACCTGCTGGAGGTGGTTAGTTGAAGGTACTCGCGGTGACTGCACCCAGGCTTTGGCGGAGGAAAAGGGTGTGAAGCGTAGACACAGAGAAGGGATAGAGCACGCAAGGGGGCACAGAATTGGAAGTAAAAAGAGAGAGAGAGAGAGAGAGAGAGAGAGAGAGAAAAGGATATATACGGAGGGGATGAAAATAGAGAGAGAGAGAGAGAGAGAGAGAGAGTGAGAAGAAGAAGAGAATGGATAGGATAGGGATAAAGTCAAGCGAATGTGCGCGAGGATAGAAAACGATGAAGAAAGGGAGAGAGAATGAGAGAGAAAGAGAATGTGTGTGAGTGAACGAACGAGTGAGAGACAGACTCTATGTTATCAGAACACGATGAAATGGGGGTAGAATCACGATCGCCGCCCCCAGCATCCCGGAGACTGAGGCTAGCCGGGAGGTCTCTTCCCGGGCAGACTTGAGCTTCTTGCACAAGCGCACTAGCTACGAGTAAGCTTTCGTTCTATATAGATAGTTAGGGAAAGAGAGGAAAATAGAGAGAAAGAGAGAGTCGACTACGACGATGACGACACCCACCCACCTCACCTCACCTCAACTCAACTCAACTCAACTCAACTCACCCCCGATTCGTGTGGTGGATCCCGTTGGTCTCCATCGAGAAATCCACCAACCCACCCTCTTTATCTTTTTCCTCTCTCTCTCTCGTTTTTTCGTTCTTTCCTTCCCATTCTCATTCTCATTCTCTCTTTTCTTTTTTTTTTCTCTTCTTCTTCTTCTTCTCTTCTTCTTCTTCTTCTTCTTTCAACCACGCTCGGTCGGAATATCTCCGGAGGTACGCCGAGGTTCTTTGTCCCGATGAATGTCGCATTGAGATTTCAACTTTCATCGTACACACTTTTTTCCCTTTTTTTTCTTTTTTTTTTCTTCTTTTATCTATGTTCACCTACGCGTTGCGTCTGTCTCTATATGAATCCGGCCTACTAACGCAAATACGTGGACAGAGAGAATAAGGTGGGTAGAGACTTTAGTTCGTTCGTTCTTTTCACCAATGTTACGAGTATCAGATACTAGAGACTGTTCAACAATTCATTACACCGTTACGTTTTAATCTTAACCACTTTTTTTTCTTGTTTCTTGTTTTTTTTTTTTAGATAACCTTTTAATAATTACTCGATATTATCGACTGTACCGTAGAATTAAACAACGAATTATTCGTATTCTCAATTTACCCTCGTTGATGACGATATTATTTCTTATGTACGAGTTAATGACGCAATTCTAAACGATTTATTATTCACGTTCGATGACTATCGGGATAAAACTGTAACTTATGGTTAGTATAAGCAAAGTTTCCAAGAAAAGAAAAAACTAACTAAAGTTTTACTTCGATTTCACCTATATCTCTTATTCCATTAACAAGTTCTTAGAGGCCGTGAGAGAATTTCTTGAAAAACTCGGATAACTCGACAACCCCCAATCCCAGTCGATTCAGTTAGTTGTTATGTTCCTTCTTTTTATCGTAGAAAAATCTCTCTCTCTCTTTTCTTGCTTGCGAAATGGTTGGAGAGAAGAGGGTGGGTGGGTGCTGTGCCGTTAGTTGGAATCAGGATGAGGCGGTGGATTCGAGTAGAGTAACTAGGGGTGGGGGGTGGGCGTTAAGAGGTAAAGGGGGTAACAGTTCCATGCTTCTGCGACCCACTGACCCGCTCGATAACGCTGCCACCGAGGTGACTGACCTTACCCTCGTAGAAAATTCTTATCGTTGCGACCCGTTCGCGAATGCATGCATGCATGCAAGCAAACTCGACCCGATTCCATTCGCGATCGTTTCATCATCGGATATCCATCCCATACTGACGATATTTGATATCCTTAGGACCTCAAACATCGATTTAACGAGAGATTCCATTACCACTTCACCCCCTGTCCCTTCATCCCCTGGTCAAAGGTTACTCACTCTCTTTTTCCTATCCCCAAGCATCACCTTTAAAAAGGGGAGATGACTAAAAAGGATTGAAAGAGAGAAAAGTAATATCAATATGAGAATCCTGGGTCAGGCTTCTTGTTAATCGGAAATCAAAGACAAAGTCGTTATCTCTAGCAGCAGCAGCAGCTCGTTATCAACTTTTACCGTATTGTGCAACCAATGACGGATATATATATATATATTTATACATCTGTCGTGAGTAATAACAATGTAAAATACCTGTAATTGTACAACCATAGTGGTGTAATCTAGTTTGTGGATTGTAAACTATCGTATAGTACTATTACTCTCATGTACATAGACATTTTTCTATACCTCGTAATATCACGTTTCAAGGATTGTGAAAGAGAGTGAGAGAGTGTGTGTGAGAGAGAGAGAGAAAGAGAGAGAGAGAGACAAGGCTCACGCACTACGAGTATTGATTTCGACTGTCGTTCGCAGTGCTGCCACGATTCCCGTGTCTCTAGAACTAAGCTCCCGGATCCACGGGGAGAGGTCATTGAAAAAATAAAATTAAAAAAAAAATAAAAAAAATAATATCGAATATTAAACTAAAAGAAAAATGGATAAGTTTGGTTTTTTTTTCCTTGCTCGAAAAAATTTTGTCCTAGGTTTTAAACGGTAATACCTTTTAAATACCTTCGTTGGTAAGAATAATGAGAAACGTGGAAAGATAAAGTAGGAAGTGGAGGATAGATATAAAAAATGTGATATAAAAGAAAAAAAAAAAAGGGAGAGATAAAAATCGTAGTACAT